TGCGATAGATGACCCCTGGCAATCGGGTGCCTTTAAGACATCTAGGCTTCACTGACTTTCCAATCATGAGGAGCAGAGTTTTGTCGGCTCCAGTCATATTTACGCAAAACGCCACTGATATTCGGTCTTTTGCATGCTTGCTGCTGGTGCACGTCTCGTCTTTGAACGCGAGCGTTTTGTCTGGTAGCAGCTTAAAGAATAGTGCCGATTAATCCATATTAAAGATGTCATCAGGGGCGTAGTCTTCCAAAATGTTCTTGAATTGGGATTTTGCCGCTGCTCCGTGCCATCTGAGTCAGCAGCAGCACCTTGTCCCAAAACAGTCCTCGTGGTAATGTCGTGCCTTGCCTTAAATATGGCCAGCCAGCCATTGCTGCACACGAAGTTGTTATGGTTGAGCTTCGAGGCAGAAACCAAGGCCTTCTCCTTGAGCAGCGGTGTGCTGATAGGCCGATTTTTCAATCTCACAGCTTTCAGCCACTTCACCAGCGCCTCCTCTACATCTGAAAACGCCAAACCGTGTAGCCAGTACCTTTTTGCAGTTGCAGCAGCACTGCCGAGCAGCTTCTCTCTGGAATTACAAATTCTACACACCGTAGTTAAGGGCAGGTCCCTTGCTCGTGCCAGCGCCGATTTTTTTCGTGCCACTTTCAATAGCACGAATTATGTCCAATTTGTCCTCAATTTTCACACTCCATGCTTTTGTCCCAGCTTCGGCATAACGCAAGTACGAAGCAGCACAAGCACTTATACACAACATGTGAAAAACAATGTGAGAGCTGTACGGCACGGAACAACCAGAGAACACGTATGCGCGGCGCCAAAGCAACAAAAAAAGCAAAGCAAGCGCACATCGTCTTTGCGTGTTTGTGCAAAGCGCCATTGCGTGGACAACACCAGAAGCCTAGCAGGCCGAGTGTTTCTTGTTGCAGAAAAATCCAAGAGATGGCGCTCACCAACACAGCCACCAGACATAAACAACTACCGTCCTATAATAGTGACATCAGTGGTCTACAGGCTGGCGATGAAGATTATAAAGGAAAGACTGCAGGCGTGGATAGAGGATGAGGGGGTGCTGGGGGAACTGCAGAATGGGTTTCGGAAACACAGGAGGTTGGAAGACAATCTGTTCTCACTGACGCAGTGCATCGAAATAGCAGAAAAAGAACACAGACCCCTGTGGCTAGCATTTTTGGATATCAAGGGAGCGTACGATAGCGTGGTTCAAGAGGAATTGTGGGGAATACTGGCCACACTAGGCATGGAACATGTAGTCACTAATCTTTTAAAGGGTATCTATAAAGGTAACAAGGTAGTTATAAAGTGGGAAAAACAGGCATCCAAGCCTGCAGAGGTAAAACGGGGGCTTAGGCAGGGGTGCCCCCTGTCACCCTTATTATTTATGATGTACCTACAAGGATTAGAGGCAAAATTAGAGGGAAGTGGACTGGGCTTCAACCTTTCTTTAGTCAAACAAGGAAACTTATTGATCAGGCACTACCAGCATTAATGTACGCAGATGATATAGTGCTAATGGCCAACAACAAGGAAGATTTGCAGAGATTGATGGACATCTGCGGTAATGAGGGAGATAGGTTAGATTTTATATTCAGTAGGGAAAAATCAGCAGTCATGATTTTCAATGACAACGAAGGTAGTGAGCTTAGAATACAGGAGGTCACGCTAGAGATAACAGATAAATACAAATATCTGGGCGTATCGATAAGCAATGGGACCGAGTATCTGAGGGAACACGAAATATACGTGACGACTAAAGGTAACAGGAATGCAGCAGTCATGAAAAATAGGGCACTGTGGAATTACAATAGGTATGATGTTGTGAGAGGAATATGGAAAGGGGTCATGGTTCCTGGGCTGACGTTCAGCAATGCGGTCTTGTGCATGAGATCAGAAGTTCAAGCAAGATTAGAAATTAAGCAACGTGGAATAGGTAGGCTTGCTTTAGGAGCTCACGGGAATACACCAAATCAGGGAGTACAAGGTGATATGGGATGGACATCATTTGAGGGCAGGGAAGCTAGTAGCAAGATAAAATTTGAGAAGCGATTGAGAGAAATGGGGGAAGAGCGTTGGGCTAGGAAGGTTTTTAACTTTGTGTGACAAAGTTTGTAATCTTCATTTGACGACACGGCGGCCTAGCAGCAACGACAGCGACCTCTAACTAACTTTGCTGCAAGCCAGCTTTTCCGCCAGCCCCTTCTTCTCGGCGAATACCCGCATGACGCTAATGCAATGCGCACCTTCGGGCACTGTCGGAACTGGATCACCCGTGTTGTCGCTTTCCATGTCATCCTCATCACTATTATTTGGCGACACTTCGACAACCGAGGCAACAATGGCTTCGTCGGACATGTCCGGAGATGTCTGCACATCACTGTCTACGTCTCTGAAGTCGGCGAAGGAAATGCCTTTCGTAACGCCCTGCCACTCCAGCACTTCAGCTAGCAGAGTTTCGTAAGCTTTGTCTACAATGTCCGAAGTCTGGTCGATGGTGTCACTGGAGTCATCTGCGTAGCCTGCACACACACTGAAGCCAGCACACTTGAAGCAATTTTTAACTGTCGTTGCTTCAACCTGCCGCCGCGAGTATTCGAGCAGGTGAATCGCGACAATCAGGTTGATGGAGGATAATTTGCCACATTCAATGGCGAGAAGAAATCTGCGCAGCAGATTCTTCTTGTAAAGCTGTTTTACAGCTTGAATGATGCCTTGGTCTAAGGGCGGGGCAATTGCTGTTGTGTTTGGTGGCAGAAATGCCAACTTCACAGCCGTCAGGTTGTCCAGGGCGACGTGCACCGAAGTGTTGTCTGAAATAAGAACAACTCCTCTTCTTAGCCGCGAACGGCAATCGATGAGGCGCAAATACTCCTCAAAGAGTTTTGCCATCATCCATGCTTCGGTGTTGCTGCGATAGATGACCCCTGATAGCAATCGGGCGCCTTTAAAACATTTAGGCTTCGCCGACTTTCCAATCACGGGGAGCGGAGTTTTGTCGGTTCCAGTCATGTTTGCGCAAAACGCCACTGATATTCTGTCATGCTTGCCGCCAGTGCACGTCTCGCCTTTGAATACGAGCGTTTTGTCTGGTAGCAGCTTAAAGAATAGCGCCAATTCATTCATATTGAAGATGTCATCAGGCGCGTAGTCTTCCAAGATGTTCTTGAGCTGACAATTTTGCCACTGCTCGCGCGCCATCCTCGTCAGCAGCAGCACCTGCTCCCAAAACAGTCCTCGTGGTAATTCCGTGCCTCGCCTTAAATCTGGCCAGCCAGCCTTTGCTGCACACGAAGTTGTTATGGTTGAGGTGCGACGCAAAAACCAGGGCCTTCTCCACGAGCAAGGGTCCGCTGATAAGCAGATTTTTCGACCGTGCAGCTTTCAGTCACTTCACCAGCACCTCTTCTACATCAGATTAGTCGAACCGTGTAGCCGGCACCTTTTCGCAGTTGTAGCAGCACTGCTGAGCATCTTCTCTCTGGAATTCCAAATTCCACACTCTGTAGTTAATGGCAGGTCCTTTTCGCGTGCCAGCACCGGGTTTTTTTTTTTTTTGCGCCATTTTTAATGGAACAAATTATGTCCAATTTGTCCTCTATTTTCAGCACTCAATGCTTTTGTCCCAGCTTCGGCATGACGCAAGTACGAAGCGGCACAAGCACACATTCACAACACGTGAAAAACGACGCGAGAGCTGTACGGCACGGAACCAGAGAACACGTATGCACGATGCCAAAGGAACAAAGAACGCAAAGCAAGCGCACACCGTGTTTGTGTGTTTGTGCAAAGCGCCATCGCGTGGACAACACCAAAAGCCTAGCTGGCCGAGTGCTTCTTGTTGCAGGAAAATCCAAGAGATGGCGCTTACCAACACAGCCGCCATTATCATCGATACAAACAAGCGAGGCGTGTTTCGATCTCTGGGGCTTGCTGTTCTGTCGGGACGCCCAGCGGGGGACGACATGTTGTGGCGAGTGCGCAACGAAAATTGGAAAAACTAGTTATTAACTAATAGATGCGGGATAAGCTGGTACTGTTTATGTGGATACAAAATGCATTATGTTCAATGGCCGCCGAGTCGTAGATTGGACTTTACAACTTTTAAAACGGAACTACTGTTTAAGCAGGTACGGTTTGACGAGGTTTCACTGTACTTGCTAAATACGTGTGGTTACAGTTGGCAGTTGGCACTTGGGGCCCCCTTGGTTTATCTGTTTGTGTCCACGAGACGTTTGCTACTGCATTCACGCATACAGCATGACAAGCCTGTCTTTAAAATGCCTTGTTCTTTTTTCTTTTTCATTCCACAGAACCTGGTGTGATTGAGTTTATTTAAAGATCATCAAATATAATAAAGGCAAAAAATAATAGTCGGGTATGACATTGTAATGAATTCTTGCTGTTTTATTTATGCTATAATGAATCAATTTGTGTTATCAAAACACACTTACCCTAAATACCCCACTTTGCATGAAATAATTTTTCAAATGACATGGATATTTATGGGAACTTCAAAAAAAAAATTTTTTTTCTAACGTCTTGATAACAATTTTGTTTAGCCATATTAAGGTCGGAGTGAATCGGTTTTTATGAGACGAGAGAATGCAATTTAGTTTGTAGGGCTGGACATGTAAGACAAGTAAGCTATTGATAGTTATAACCCAGAACACCGTTCAACACGTTTGTGGCTTTTGAGATAACGTTTAGCAGGATACCAATATTTTTTAACTTATTTGTATACTAATACTATTTGTTTAGGCGAAGATGGTGGCTTGAAAAGAGAAAAATTTTCAAATAATGACCTTCACTGGCGCCAATGTTTAAACTAGCAGGCTTGTCTTGAAGGCTGCAAATGTAACAGCCTTGAAGATGATAAAATTGCTGGCTGAAATGTTACGACAACCCATGCTCAAGAACTTTCGCCACTATTTGTGTGTTTCAAGAGTGGTGGTTTCCCTGATATGACGGATGTGATGCTTCAGGTGAATCTGAGATCTTGGAGCCTGTGCGTCCTCTGGAGAATGAGGCAGACGAGGATCGGCCGGCCATCGACGAGATGATTGAGCAGCTGCAGCAGCAGCAGGATCACTTGCTGGCGGCTGAAGGGCAGTCCCCACCACGATCGGCACAACAGCCTCGACTGGCTTCGAGTAAGTGCTCCACTGGACGAGCAGCTTTGGCTGGAATGGGCACATGCTGTTTACGAGTGCGCCTTTTCAGAATGTATTGTGTACACGACAGCATTGACTGCACCTCTTCTTAGCAAGTGGGCATGCAAGGAGACACGAGAATAAAATGACATACAAATGAAGCCCTGCTTCTAAAGAACCTCATCTCTATGTCTGTTCTGACTTCCTTGCACCTATTTGTGCTTCACGGTTAAATTTTTTATCAATCCTGTATGCATTATTTTTCAGAATCTTACCATTCATCTCATCTTCTGGTTCATATAGCACAAGAATTATCTGGTGGCATCACACTCCTCGTTCATTCAAGCCTTCTCAGCCACATGCAATTAACTTGGATGACCTTGTGAGCTTGCCCATTGTGAAGCACTGCAGAACGATCAATAGTGACAGCATCCAGCTGAAATTGCCATAGTTTGCATCACACTGACTAGCAGTGGGAACTGTAAGGAATACTGTTTTTGCAAAAAAAAAAGAACATAATTTACAGATTCATTCAGTAAATAAAGGCATGTTGATGTAATGATTTGTCTTAGTCTCTTGGTACTTTCGATAAATCAAAATTCAGCTATTTCAAGCATTTGTAGTGGTCCCACCTAATATATGTTGACATTGTTTCACTAAAGCCGGCTGTGGTTGTCTTTATTAATTAATTTATTTATTTATTCTTCATTCTTCTTCTATGTAGGTCATTCTCCAGGGGGCCACCACAGCAGAGTCGGAATGCGACGCACTGGCGATGTTGAAGGAGTGAGGCAGTCCTCTGGCCACTGGCAGTCCCGGGACACAGAGCAGCCCGGTCCCTCCTCTGAATCAAGTGCTGGTAGCAGCGCTGGCAGCAGCAATGCCAGCAACGCAGCTGCACCGACTCGGCTCGCCCGGTGCTTCCTCGGGACTGCCTCAAGATCGGCACTGGTAGCAAACTCATTGCGCCGTGCAGCAATGATGGCTGATGCTGAACAAACTTTGTACCATGCAGAGAACCAAAGACGACGGCAAAGTCTGGAGGTCAAAGTGGTAAGCTGTTAGCACCACTGGCATCGCGGTTAGTGTAAGAGTTAACGGGGGGACACAGCTCTTGGATCGCGAAAAATGGTAAAGAAATCGTTTTTTTTTTTTTATGAAGTTTTCAGTTTCTGGAATCCTTTTTCTATACAATTCCAAAATATCTACTAATCGCTCCAAAATATCTACTAATCACGCAGAAGTACTTCAAAAAATTTGTTTTGCCCTCTTAGGTGGGGAAAATTATTCTAGAAGTTGTAAGAAAATAGCGATTTACAAGAAATTGAAGCTTCGCAATAGTGCGGGCAGTAGCGGGCTTCTTGACGAAGATAAGTTCTCCGTGTTTCAATTCCCCGCGTGAGCTGGCTTTCCCATTCAGAAATAATCGCGCAAAAAACAAATAGTTGAAGAACGTTGGGAGGCCTCCGATTGGCTGCGTCTGCCATGTTTCTCCAGCTCGCCTCGTCATTGGGTCGATGCTCGCTCCGCGAGACCGTCATCTGCTGCTTGTGCGTTGCAAGGACACGGTTGTTGAAAATCGCTACTTCCTGACGTGTTCACGGCTCAACGATCATTTAGATAATAATTACGGTTAGTATCTGTAAGTGGATGCTTGATAAGATTACTACGGTGCGCCGTGCTCGTACACTGCGCGACGCACCTAACTTCGCTGACGGGAACAACACTCTAAGGCAATCTTGGCAACATGCTTTTTCGCAAGCAACCAAGCACATTGTTCACTGCCTCCTCGGAACTTCGAATGGGCATTTTAGGCATCGGCAGCGGACCTTAGAGTCAAGCTCGTCAGGCCCCCCTGGCTAGGAGGATTGCTCAAAACATAGGCTAACAGTCCCGCGCGTCGGCACTTGAAAATGGAATGCCAAGCATAGTGCGCACAGATTTTTTTCTCATCGTAGCTACACATTTCTCGCATCGTCACTGAACGCCACTGCTAAGCACATCACGCGCCGGCTGCACTGTCTCCGCTCCTGCGCACTTAAATTAAAGGGGGACGCGGCCTTTGAAAACCGAAAAATCGCGAAAAAGTCGATTTTTGGCAAACCACATATTCGGGCAGTATGTGTCATAAACTACCTTTTCTGTAAATATTAACGTCTAATTCGTCGCGAAACCATTTGAAATAAAGTTTAGAACATGGCGCGGCGGCCCTCGAGCGGCGCGCGAGCGCTCAAAATACCCCAACTTGGCGTGATCGCAGTTTCTCGACCGCTCGACGGAGCGCCGCCATTTTGGTGTTGTTTTGTTTGTGAATTCTTGCTCTTTCTTTCCCCGCCACCTGCGTCGCCGGCGGCAGCGCAGGAGAGGAGCAAGCCGCTCATGATTGGAGGGCTCGCGAGAGCTTTCAAGTTTCCCACGGCTGAGGCGCGCAGCTGGGATTGGGCGAAGCGCGCGCTCCCCACGGACGCGGGGGAGCCCGCGACTGCCATTGGCTGCTGCGCGCGATGATGTAGCGCTCTTGCGCATAATGCGGTCGATGCAGCCGCTCGTCTGCTGCTCCTCCGTCCGGCGTCTTTGTGTTCCGCTCGCTTCCGTGTATCGTTGCAGCCGTTCGCATTCTCTCCACGTTTCAACTGTCTTCGAAACGATTTTCAACCGTCTTTACGAGACGGTTTTCAACCGTCTATACGAGACCGTTGTTGTGTTCGCTCACGATGCGCCCAACGAAAAAGAAGATGCCACAATCGTTCGGTGCAAGGAAGCGAGCTATGAAGCTTGTCCGCGCGGCGAGGCTCTCCGCTCGCACGTGCGCTGACGGTGATCGCGCCGACGGTACCTGTAGGGCAGCTTCTGCTTCATCTACGCAAGAGAGTGGTCGCATCGACGCGCCTAGCAACGGAACTCCTGCTCCGTCGGTGCAAGAATTTGTCGTTACAAGTGCGCCTGGTGTCTCGTACTCATCGACAGTGGCTTCCGCATCTTCTCTTTCATCGGCCTCGAGTGCGATCGCGTCGTCAACTGTGCATTTGCGAACAAGTTTCCTGACGTGCGAGGAGAAAGAGGCGGCGGATCAACAACGCGCTGCTGTGCAAAGAGAACTTGGCGCTATGCCAGCGACGGAGCGGAAATTTCAGGCAATGGAGCGCGATCATGAAGCTGCCACCGCTACAAGTGAAGGCGAAAAATTTTTCCTTGTGCAAATGGATGCCCTAGACGACCTGCTATTTCGGACCCCGTGCCACCGGTGCACCGCGATTGGGATGAAGGTACGAGAAGGCACCCAACTTGGACTTGCTGCAAAGCTTGAGCTAGTATGCTTGCATTGTGGAGTACTTTCAAGCTCATGGAGTTCATCTCGTCAGGATGACACAAAGGCCTTTGATGTGAATGTAAGAGCCATTATGGCAACAAAACAAATAGGCAAGGGACAAACAGCTCTCAACGACTTTTGGGCAGCGATAAACGTGTCCCATCGTGGCCTCCATCACAAGACCTTTCAGAAGCACCTGAAGAAATTCAGGGAACCGCAGACACAATGCATAGAAAATTTCTATGCAGAATCTGCTTCTGCTGTAAAAGCTACTTACAAAGAAATGGATCAATATTTCACCAGGGATATAACAGTTTGTTATGATGGAACATGGCACAAGCGTGGGCACACATCCCATATTGGAGTCGGGGCAATTATCGAATACCATACGGGCCTTATCTTGGACGCTGTTGTTCTGTCTAATCAGTGCCTTGGTTGCCAAGTAGGGCCAAAGCCTGGAGACGCAGACTATGCATGCTGGCTGGAGAATCATGTGTGCCAGAAAAACACCGACTCTAAATCAGGGAGAATGGAGGTTGAGGCAGCTATCATCCTCTTTTCACGCTCACTGTCAAAGCACAACCTCCGTTACACAACGCTCGTGTCTGATGGAGATAGTGCCACCTTCTCTGCCCTTGTACAAGAAAATGTTTATGGACTAATCCCCATTTCAAAAGAGGAATGCCTGAACCACGTTCAGAAGAGGATGGGGACTGCACTTCGCAACCTTGTGCAGAAAAGTGACAAGGCTTTGGGAGGGAAGGGCAGGCTGACAAAGGCCCTCATCGACAAGTTGACAGATTATTATGGCTGGGCCCTACGGAACAATTCCGATGATGTGGCTGCAATGCGGCGGGCAGTGATGGCATCGTACCACCATGTGACGTCGACGGATGAGGAGCCGCACCACGACTTGTGCCCAGAGGGTGCAGACTCCTGGTGTCGTCACAATGCCAGCGAGATTACCGGTGTTCCACCTCCGAAGCATTCGTACAAGCTGCCACGCTATGTTGCAGATGCACTTCTACCCATTTATGAGAGGCTCTCACAGGCTTCTCTTCTGCAACGCTGCCTGGGAGCAAAGACGCAGAATGCATCAGAGTCCTTTCACTCTGTGCTGTGGTCCCTCATGCCCAAAGAGCAGCATGCGTCACTGATTGCTGTGGAGACAGCACTGCATGATGCAGTGCTAAGATACAATGCTGGCTGCTACAGGGCCACCCAAGAGCTAGCTTCATCAGTGGGGCTAACACCTGGCCACCTGGCCATTCAACGGGCAGCCGAGAAAGATTCTCTGCGCTTGAAAAAGGCTAAGAAGCGATCCCTAGAGAAGATGGAAAGGCGGCAAAGAAAGAGACTACAAAACTGCGCGAAAAATCGACAAGAAACGGAGAAGGCACACACACAAGCGCAGAAAGAAAAAATATGACGTGAAAGATTAGAAGTTGACGTGATTAGATTAGAAGTCTCCGTTTCTTGTCGATTTTTCGCGCAGTTTTGTAGTCATGATTTACCAACTCGCCCAGCGTTCAGTACTCTAAAGAAAGAGATTGCCAAAGGACACCTCCAGTTACGCTGCAGGTTCATTTTAGAACTGCCTATGTGCTCGAAACTTTCAAACGTCGTTTTCTCAAAATGACTTTTTTGGCTAGTGAGGCTGCTTATTCCAGCCATATCTCTGGAACCACTCATTGGATTTCCATAAGTCTTTTTTTATTATGTACATGAATAAATTTCTGAGGGGGTGACAAGCCCATTTTTTCAATATATTGTGCGTGTTATTTATTATATTTAATCAAAATTTGATTGATAATATCCTAATCACAAACACAAAGTTTGATGGTCTGCTAAAACTTTTCAGCAAGGAAATTCAAAAAAAGGGCTCTGTTACCCCCTGGAGTATCAATCTGGGAATCATCATAGTTAATTTCACAGTTCCAGCACCTTTTGAAAGTTCTCCAGGCCTGGAATAAGAGAACCATGTGCACTACCCTGATATTCTGCTGTAACTTGAAAACCAGTGAACATAACTTGATGAAATTTTGTAGTTCTTCTAATGCTTTTGCTATAAGTCTATCCTGAAAATTTCATTAAGATATCTCAATAAACAAAAAAGTTGGTATCCGATGGTAGCCTCCCCCCTTAAAGGGGGGACATGGGACCGGATAGTGAAATATATTAGTATTAGGCCTAGAGACATGATTTTTTCAGGAAATATTCAGCTTTGTACACTGATTGAAAGTATGTAATTACATTTTCTTTACATTAATTCAAAAACAAAGTTACAACTATTCCTATTCTATGAATTTGAGATGTGACTTGCATAAAAAGTAATGCATAAAAAGAGCTGTAATTCAACCTGTATATTGCTGAATATTCAAATAGTGTAAGTATGCAATTTCATGCTAGTATCTAAATTTTACCCAAAGTTATGAAGTTTTTATGTCGCAGTCTCTTTCTTAGCTCTGAACTTTCACAGGTGATTTCTGGAAAATTTCAAAATTTTACAATGTCAAACATTTTATCAAGGTTTTCTTGCACACTTCAATATCCTAGCATTCAAACAAACAAAAAAAAAAGATCAGGAAAGTCAAATCAGTATTAGAGACACAGTGCTCATCCCAAATACAAAACGTGCAAAAATCTGTATTTGAGAAAAATGCAAAACACAATAAACTGAAAAAATTGTGAAAATGAAAATTTCATGCATGAAAGCCACAGCACTTGTATTCACAATCACTCAGAAAGCCCCTGCGGAGTAGTCTGAAGCGGGCTTTTGCTTGTGCTTCTTCTTTGCGGCTGCCTGGAACGCCGCTGAAGATGCACGGTTTCTCTCCGAGCCGACAGCACGGCGATAGTCTTTCTCAACCGCCCGCTGGTTACCTGTGCATGTTTGATCTAGCTGCAGTTCACGCAAAATAAGCAAACTAGCTTCCTTGTTCTCTAAGTTGAAACGCATCACAGCATCTGCCATGGCAGTCTCAACACCAAACAATGACGCGTTCTTGTCCTTCGGTGAGAGGCTCCAAATGACCGAATGCAAGACCTCATTCGCATTCTGCGTCTTCCCTCTGGTGCATCTCTGCAGGAGCTTCTTGTCGGACAAGCGTTCATAAACAGGACGCAGTGCATTGCTCACAGCCTCTGGCAAATTGTACTAGCTTTTTGGGATGGGCTCATTCCTTGCCATGGCTGCATTATGCTTGCACCAAGACTCGGAGCCGTCTAGACAAAAGCTGTGGTTTGATTTCTTGTCAGTGGATGTCACATGATGATACGTAGCCCACACAGCCTTGTGCATCTCATCTACATTCCCAGAATGGGATTGCAAAGCCCAGCCGTAATAACTCGTCAATTTTGTGGTGAAGTCACCCGTGAGGCGGCCCTTGCCACTGGTACGCTCGCTGCTGTCCCCTTTGTGCTTCTGCACGAGGTTCCGAAGGGCAGTCCCCATGCGCTTCTGCACATGGTTCGAGTAGTCTTCTTTTAAACATTTATGAAGCCGTACACCTTAACATTTATGAAGCCATACCCCTTAGCTTCTTTGACAGCACTGTACGACCGGCTGTCACCATCACAAAGCATGGTGGTGTACCTGAGGCCATGAAGTGAAAGGGAGCGCTGAAATAAAATGATTGCTGCCTCTACTTCCATTTGGCCAGCCTTGCATGAGGTATTTTTCTGGCATAAATGTTTGGCTTTCCATTCTGAGTATTCTGTGCTCTCGGGTTTTGGACCACATTTTAACAGCCGAGGCAAAAGCTAGAAAGCACAACAAAGTCTAGCACATAACCTCTAAAAACTTCTATCACAGTGGCTATTCCGATGTGAGAGGTGTGTCCTCTTGTGTGCCATCAAAAGAGACGGCAATATTTCCGGGGTGTCCGAAATTGAGGTCCTTGTAGAGGCACTTTACTACTGTGGCACACTTAGTCAAAGGTTCGGCACAAGCTCTCGTTGCTGCTGGCTGAAGCTTAATCTTCAAGTACTCTTGGTACGTTTTCGTGTGAAGGCCCTGATGTAAAACACCAATAGCGGCAAAGATGTCATTCAGAGCTGTCTGACCATTCCCAGTGCTCTGAACCGCACGCGCCGTATGAACGTTGATTTCGAACGGGTTGCAGTTACTGCTGCCACCAAACCGTCGCGAGCTCCATTTCGAACCAACTTCTCCGCAGTTGCTGCATAGAAGCTTCAGCTTAACGGCTTCGCCGTACTAACGCACGTCGCGTTTGATGGTCAATTGACCACTGCACACTCGGCAAGGAGAATGTTCGTTTAGTAAACTGTACACCAGGTCGTGGTCAACCATGGTATACGTCGGGGCCGACGAACTTTTGGTGCCGCGCTTACTCGCAAGAACACTCATTTTGCGATCGGTTGCCGAGACCGAGGAAAGTCCCGCTGCTTTTTGCTGGGCGCGACGCTCGATGAGTTCTCGGTCAGCCGATGTCAAAAATGTCGCGTCTATCCTCCCAGTTTGATCGCGCATACTTGAAGTACTGCAGGCAGCGGTCGCAGTCGCCGCCACGCTTTCTCCGGTTGCGAGATTGGCTGCAGCAGCATTCTCTGCTGTCTTAATCACAAGCGGCGTTGTTTCCTGGCGCCTTGTTGAAGTATCACCGCAATCAGCTGATTCCGACGGCACCGTGGTCACCGTTGCGATCGCTTGTGTTGCGCTCCTCCGCCGTTGCGCTCTTCCACCGAGATCTACAGATATCTTCATCTGCAGTTGCGATGATTTATGGCAGTCTGAGCGCATGTCGCCACTGGTAGAAGTTGTAGCGATCAAAGGCTGCCTTTGTGTCGGACTGCTGCATCGTGGCGACTGCCGGTCTCCTGTTCCGCTCGGCTCTGCCGACGTAGCCTGCGCTGGCTGCGCTGACTCCTTGGGCTGTACAGCACATCTTTCCCGTCACTTGCCGAATTTGTTAAGTGTGGTGCACTTTCGAGCATGTTTCGGCATCTCGATTTCGATCGCAAAACTACAAAACTTCCAAGATGGCGGGGACAACACGCATTTGCGGCCGTGCGCGCATGATCACCAGTGTTGTCAGTCCCCGCGCTCCAATCACAAGCTGCGGTTCAGTCATGTGACTGCTATGGACCAATGATACCGCGCGGTGTTGTCGCTTCTTTTTGCCTGGTAGCGCAGACTGGCTGCAGCATTGAAGGTTTGTTCCTGGCGGGAAAGCGAGCTCAACAGAAGCTCTTTCAAACGAGACTAAGATGGCCGCGATCCGATGAGTGGTTAGCGCGATCTGAGCAACACAAGAGGGGGCTGTTTTCGACGATTTCGTAAGCGAAACCAAGTGCTGGGATGAATAAACACAACATTTTTTGGCTCAACGTGCGTCACTTCGAGTTTATTTTTTGCTGGCAGGTGCAGGATGATATGAAGACAACGAAAATCACCAAACTGAAAAATCGATTTTTTTTTTTTTTTTGCACTTTTCATCGCCAAGACCCGTGTCCCCCCTTAAGGTCGCACGGAGTGCTGTCAATAAATTATAGTGATGCGATTTAGACAAGCTTGGAGCCGAGTTTGGTATCGCCGCAAGCGTTTATGAATTTTCTGGAACAATGAGTCTCGTAGATTAGCGTCTCCGCGACTGGCCATATGATTATGCATTTCACAGATAGCGTGGCAAGAGAACATGTAAAAAGGAGGGGTACGAATTTTTATCTGCCCGACTCGCGTCATTAAATAAACTGCTAAAAAATTTCTGTGCCACCAGTTTTCTCCCCATAACTGTTCGTTATTTGGAAAGAAGGCACAGGCCGTCATGGTGCAAGGCCGTTTTCTGATGCAATGAACCTCTCTTTGTACCAAAATGTTTCAGTCATCATTTGTAATTAAGAAGTACTTATTTACGCTAATGGCAGCTTGAACACAAGGAAGATGCGTAGTCATTTCAGCATACGGCCTTATTGCTATCTTTTCTATCATGCCCATTACACCACTCCAGAAAACTTGATTCGAAATCTATGCTTGTTCTGTGTAGATCGGAAAATAAGGTTATAAAAAAAAAGGCACAACAAAGGCACATTGGACAGAGGCCACATGTCGGAGAAGTCAAATATCGCAGTACAAACCATAGATCACAATTTTTAGGTGTTTTAGGAACATAAAGAGAAGTTGAAACTTCAAACGCAGTTTTCTCAATTTGGCAATATGCTCAGCTCGTGGAGCAGATAGCTTGGCAAGCACTTCAGAGATTTTGGTTCCGTTTGTTTTGTAACGCTCCTTGAACTGTGCTTCAGGGGGCTGGGATGCAACTTCGTTATAATGAGCTGTGGGTGTATTTGTTGTTTTCCTTAGTTATTAATTTTCGCTTTCCCATCCTCCATCCCTGCAGGTATGCGAAAACCTGCTGGCTAGCAAACGCCGTGTCAATAATTGCCGTGCCAAAGCCGCCGCCAAAAAGAAGCCCGCCGGCATTCAAACACGTTCCTCACGAGGAGCTCCCGGTTCAAGGTTAGCCAGAGATGACTTTGAGGTATGTTCAGGTTTATTCCTTGGACTGAGCACCTAGCTTTATAAGTATCCCTTATTTTATCACCACATCTTTGGTTCGCCTGTTCAGAGATACTGCCGTGCCATGCATGCATCACAGTGCCAGTCACACATGGCAATGTGGTCAGTCACTGTTCGCATGGCATTTAATACTAGCATACCTCAGTGTACCAAGTACCACTGTTCTAATTTCTTTGGTAGTGCGCTGTTATACTGTGCTAGATATTAAGGACAAGCATCCTGGTGATGATAGCCATTATTGTAGCCTCTCAATATTCACAGCAGAGTTCGTTTTTGTCTCTTATGAGGTGTATGAAATTTGTTTAATTTATAGGAACAAGTGAAATGCGGCATAATCATTTATAGAATGTTGAGTCACTTACAGCTGTTTTCCTTTCCTTTTTTTGCATGATGTGGTATCATGTTAAACTGATTAACAAGAGAGAAGAGCTATGCCACCGTTCTCTTCTAAGAGAACGCTCGCGGCCGCCGCTCCCGTAGTTGATAGAGCAACTGAATCACTGAGACTACAGTATCTCCAGTTTACTGTTTTCGTATGTATGAGAAGGTCCTGTCTACAGTGTGTTCCCTCGTGAGGTATCCTGTTCCCTCATGAGGTATCCTTCGAGAATGTGTTCTCTGCTTCAACTAACCTACTTTTCTCAGCCGCAATATCGAAATAGGTTGCGTAACTTTAAATAACCGATGAGCATCTGAACTCTTGCTCGCGGCCGCTCCCGTAGTTGATAGAGCAACAGAATCACTGAGGCTACAGTATCTCCAGTTTATTGTTTTTGTATGTATGAGAAGGTCCTGTCCGCAGTGTATTTCCTCATGAGGTATCCTTCGAGAATGTGTTCTATGCTTCAACTAACCTACTTTTGTCAGCCGCAATATCGAAAGAGGTTGTGTAACTTTAAATAATCAACGAGCATCTGAACTCTTGCGTTTTGTCTAGCGTTGACGACAAACCGGGGTCAACGTGCAGTGAGAGTCAAAGAAACTTTTTAATTCTCTTGGACTTCAATAAATTACTGATGTGGCCTAAATCTTTCTTTAACGTAGGATCCTGATGACATCAGCATGAGTTCCACCACTGACACCGGTGCAGTTTTCTCTGAAAGCTCTGAAGGCAGCGAAAGGTGACTATAGGCCTTCGTTAAAGTGCGCTGTTCTTCATTCTTAGCAGCAATTCTGTAGTAATGTGTTAATACCTTGCTCATTGTTTGTGTAACAGTTGCAGCGACTCTGACTACTCGGATTGGGTCGAGGAACCCAAGTCACGCAAGGCAGCCCCTAAGAGTAGCCCTAAAAAGCAGCGGCGCATTGTGCAACGGCCCGAGGAAGAGGATGGTGACGAAGAGCACGAAGTCAAAGTCAAGGAAGAGGACAGAGCTCATGGTTGAAGACGACTCAGATGAAGAGAATCTCGTGGTAGAGGACTACGTTTTCGAAGATGATGATGACAGCGCTGAGACAATCCGACCAGCGAGGAGTAAAGCAGCAGCACTCGACAGTGATGAGGACTACGTCGAGGCAACAGCTCGTGCGAGGAAGAAAAAGCACCTTGTTCGCAAGAAGCAACGAAAGAAAAAGCCTCCTATAAAATCGTCCCCCACGACCCCAACACCTTCATCATCTGGGGCTGGTAGCAGCAGGCAGTCTTCAGTGAGTAATGTGCTAGTAGAGTAGTGTCAGCAGCAGATATTCGGGAACTCCTTTGCATAATTCACTAGTTCTCCTATCTGCACTGCACATTTGCCTATGAGGTGGCTCTGAAAGTCAGTGCAAATGAAAGTTCTAACGCCCATGCTCCTGCTGTGTTTCTCTTGCACATGGCTGCGTTGTCATTCTCACCTGATTTTTTTGGAGTCGTCGCACAAGCAATCTTCACCTGTGTATGCTGTTTTCGAAAATGTGTGCTCTCCCACGCTTGGGGCACCTATACAACTCTGCATGCATGTGTTTTTGTCAAGCTGTGCCAATAGCAATATTTTGGGTCCAAAGAGAACTTGTGTATTGAAGTGTGAGTGCAAGTCGAATCAAATACTTTTATAATATTTCTCTTATAGTTCTAGACTATTTTTGGAGCACTTTGAAGAGAAATTGCAGGAAAAGGCCAAGAGAGGATTCCTAAGCATATTCGTATGAGATAGCAACATGAGAGTGTTTCTTTTGGCTAGGTTGATAGCGCTGGCGGGGTATTGTTTCACAATTGTCTTATCAAGAATGAGGCAATGCAGGGGACGAATTGTATATATATACCTTATTTGGTGCAACCAAAATGTTGCCGACAGCACTTTACACAAGAAAGGCCAAAGTGCTTGTAGGGCCGTGTACTGAGATTTGGGTGCACGTTAAAGAACCCCAGGTGGTCGAAATTTCCGGGGCCCTTCACTACGGCGTCTCTCATAATCATATGGTGGTTTTGGGACGTTAAACCCCACAAATCGATCGAAAGGCCAAGGTGCTAGTTTCTCTTTCAATTTGGGAAGAAGCCCAACTGATGAGGCAGACAGGGTATGTGCACTTGCTTTAGAAGTGGTGGGGGACATTGAGAAAGAAAGGACAAGTAATTCTTGCAATTTTACATAAATTTTTCTTTGCGTGGTGTGGAGTGATGCACGGCTTGCATGCTCATGAGGGCCTGGACGACATGGGGGCAACATTCTTGGGCGACGTTGAAAATTGCTTGTTGGTTCGCAAGGTCTGATGTCATGAAGAAACCGATTCATTTGAGTGAAGAGCGAAGTTATGATAACTCTTGGCAGTCTCTCTTCTTCTCTCTCTCGTGTTTTTTTTTTTTGTTGTTGTTGTTGTTGTTGTTGTTGTTGAATGCCGCACATGTAGTTAGCAAGGCCTGGCTTATGATCATAGATGAAGCTGACATATGGCAGAGTTGATGGCAGCATGCTGAAACACGGTGTTCATTCCTTTCAAAGGCACTTCTCAGACTCTTTGTTTGTTGCTTCCATAGAAACAGAGCCATCAACAAGTGATGCACACGCAAGGGAATGAGGAAGCCAGGACACCACCGCAGAGCAGTAACAGCAAGAAGTCGAAGAAGAGCTCTAAGCGTGCATCGGAGAAAGTCCTGCGACACCCGGAATGGCTGATGGACACGGTGCCGCGCAAGACGCCTTATTTTCCTCAGATTGGCGACGAGGTGGTGTACTTCCATCAGGGGCACCAGTCATACGTGCAGGCGGTGAAACGCTGCCGGGTGTACCATGTCCGGGACCAGGCAGCAGCCCTGGGTGCGTCACCGGCTCAGGGTCAGTGGCTATTGGCTGTGTTTTGACTACTTCTTTGCTCAAGCAATGTTGTAATCCAACTAGAACAATGTTGAAGCACTCTTTAGAAAGCTACAGGGCTAGTTTCTGTCAAATCTGCCTTCTAATAGCCTTTAAATGTGTCTAAGCAGCTGGCACATGCACCTTGTTGCATTGATACATTATGAATCCTAATATGTTGACTTGCATTTTTGGCACCTTGCAAACACAACTTAATTTGAAATAAGGCCCCTTACATGACCCAAATTTTACTGCTGTTGGCCTTTTAATGTACCTGAAACCTTCAACCTGTTTTAAACATTGAATTTGAAAGAGGGTTGTATTATGAAGTAAATCACTGTATTGTGAAAGTGCGAACGAGCTGTAGTACACAGAAGCTACACACAGGCACAGGAAATCACTTGTCATCTACAAGTGTTGTGGGTTACTTGCAAAAAAACGTGAAAGAGTGCAGCAGGCTAGTTACTGGTCTCCGAAAATCTCTAAATAACGCAGTGCTGGATTGTGCACTTGCAGGAGCAAGAACTGTTGCGTGTGCTGGATGTGAAATTTGAGTTATGCCCACCCGTGCACCTGTGCTGCCTTCGTGTGGTGCCCATTGAGCCTCACCGAAGCCAGATGGATGGCGAGCCCTTCGACATTCGCTACCACGACATGCCAGACGTGATTGACTTCATTGTCCTGCGTCAGACCTATGACACAGCTATGCGTCGCAACTGGAAACCCCGTATGTTACTGCCTCACATTTCTCTCCTTGTTCTGGGGATATAGACACTGCGGTTTCTTGAGGCCACACTTTAAAAATAACATTTGGGCAGCTTGGTGCTGTTTACCAATAAGAATGTTTTGCTAGCTAGTGCATTTTTGTGAAGTGCCCTCATTAATAAAGAAAAATGTAAACTTAGCTCATCCTCTGACCCCACCAAGTGCATGCATACATACATGCAATGTTGCAATTCCAACACTATTTTTGCTTTTCACTCGTCAGAGAATGAAGTAATACCTTGTTGATATGCTCCTGTTTATTCATTTCTAGTCCATTCAGTGTTCATTAATTTCAGGCATTTTTTATGATCCTGATTAGGTAGCTTACCTAAATGTGGGAAAGTTGCTTTGCTTCACTGTTGTCAGATTGTAGCTTGCTCTAATATCTCCCCACCGCACCCCTCCCCCCTTTTTTTTTTGTGAGAAATATTCGGAAAGCTCGATTGTGAGTGGGACTACACGTGGCTGTGCAGATGATCGGTTTCGTAGCATCATCGACGACGCCTGGTGGATGGGGACCATTGAGAGCCAGGCGCCGTTGCAGCGCGAGTTTCCCGACTCCATGTTTCAGTGCTTCATTGTCACTTGGGACAACGGAGAAACAGAACGCATGAGCCCATGGGACTTTGAGCCCATTGACTGCAACCGTAAGGAACTGCACTGTGCTCTGCTGTCTTTTGTGTGCTTTAGTTGTTGTAGTCTAGACAACCATACTAAGCTCGGAAGTTATGTGTTGGCTGAAACTTGCTGTAGGAGCAGCAAAGATGTACCAGCGTGCCTAACCCACCACTTTAATCAGCAGGCTAGTTCCAGATGTCAGCATTTCTGTTGTGGAACTTGTTGTGGAACTTGTTGTGGAACTGTTGTTGAAACCCGTGGCACCAGATTTTGTTCTGTGTAACATTGTAAATAAGCCATGGGTACAAAGGTCTGAAACTGCTTTTTGGGTAATGCAGGCATGCCAGACCACGTCGGTGGTGCAGTGCCAGTGACGTTTGACGAGCGTCGCAGCCTGGTTTACCGGCCAAAGGCAAACGAGTGGCCCCGGTGTGGTCGAGATACATGCTGCATCCGGCTAGTCAACGGTGTGAGCCGAATAATGGAGCTGTCTATAGCAGAGCCATTTGCGGCACCAGTGGACCTCAATGCCTACCCAATGTACGCACGGATTGTGGCCTATCCCATTGACCTCTCCACCATCAGGGCAAGGCTGGAAAATCGGTTCTACAGGTACAATTAGCCCGTATGCCATTTTCAGAATGGCTTGCCATCAGCATATAATAGATTGGGCGGACATTGCATGAAGTTCGAAGCATTACTGGGGAGAGGTATACATAGTGTTCATGCAACTTCATGCAACTTTGCGCTGACCGAACATTGATCACTGTGACATTGACAATTACTTTTTACATTTGTTGCATGAACAGTCTAGTTAAACGCGCCCTATCCAACAACAATGTACTGTATTAACTCTTGTATAAACCCACTTGCAAAATGAACCACCTTAGTTATCGAAAAAAAAAGGAAATTTGTTTTTTCATGTATTTCTACATTTTATTTCTGTGTAATAGCCAATGCATTAGTGATCGAAAGGTTGAATCACGCCATTGTATCACAAAAGAAATACGCAACAAAAGTCAAAACATACGTAGTTCAACAACCATGCTAAACAGATATGCGGGCAGCGGGAGTGCAGATGAGGTCAATCTATATTTAGAAGTTCGCGCCCTTTGAGACAGAGCGCCATCTGTTGAACACAGAGTAAACTTTCTGATTATAGCGCCACGCAAGCACAGAGGTGCGAAAAACAAAGCAAAAAAAAAAATTACACCATCCCCCACAAAAGGTAACTGTGTAGATGCGAAGCAGCAGGCGTTTACGCTTACACTGGTGGTGGCGTTGACGCTGGCACTCACTGCGGTTTTGCGCAGGAGATAAATATGGAGAGGCCCAAAGCACGCAGTGTGGACTGGTGTTTCCCTCTGGGACATGCTGAACACTGCTAATGGGCATTGAGAGACAGAAGACTCCGACTGGACACAGAGACCCGTAGTCTGCTTTTACTTAACGCGCACGCTACAAATTTTTCATTGTTCAACAATGCACCGTAGAAATTTCCCACCGGTACTACCTTGGAGGTCACGGTCGAGTGCCATATATACAGGATGGCCAGCAAATGGTTGTGCAAGAGAGGAGACTAGGGAGAAGAGTAGCGCATGTGCCGCAAGAGCGAAGCGAAAAAGCAGGTGGCAGGATTGAAGTGGAGAGAGTAATGTGCAGCTGTTAGAGAGAGGGAAGGAGGAGAGTTGCGCATAGCGTAGTGTGAGTGCAGACGCTGACACCAGTGGGACATAGACCCGAGCGAAAGATGCTCCGCTTGTAAACAAAGTGCAACCGTGCCCAGTCGCAGTGACGGCACGACTTGCACTCTCAATGTGCGTGCACTGCCATCCGATGCCATGTTTTAGCATGCGGAGCGTGTTATAGTAGGGGCTAGTCATGCGCCGCCGCCATCCGCAGCCTCCCCTCCTTCTCTGCCAGCCATCTGTGCATCCCTTCCTCCTCTCAACACAGCGCACGCTGCGCTCGCTTCTTCCCTCCGCGCGACCTTTCGTTTTACGTGCGCCAGCTGTATGCTAACGCGCATGCACAGGCCGGGGCCGGCGCTCGCTGTAAGTAACCGAGTGTCCGGACGCGCCACCCTTCGTCGGTTGGTTTGTGCGGACGCTCCACATCCTATGTCGCTGGTGAAAATGTATGCTAACGAATCCGCAAACACACTTACTGATGTCCCTTCCAATAGCGTCAGCCAATGTGTTGGCGGAACTGCAAGCAATTCCGTAGACACTTCATCTGTGGACAAGGCCGCGCTGAGAAGAACTCGCGATGCAGAACGCGAACGTCGGCGTTTGTGTTCTGTGAGCAAGGCCACATACTCATACTCGTGTACTCATAAACAGGAGTCGTCAACGTCGAGCCCGGCGCTCAACAAAGCGCCAACGGCGAGCACTGCGTCGCTAGTGTCTGCGGAGTCGACGTCATGACGATGTACCTCACGCCCAACCTACCGCGTGCTGCCGTGGAGAAGTACGCCGACGAAGCCGTAGAAGAATACCTGAAACAACGACAGCAACGACGACCCTTCGTGATAGTTGGCGACTTCAACATCGACGTCATCAAGAACGATCGAGTAGTCGACTACATGGAGTCGCGGCAATCGCTGAAACGAGCAACGCACAACGGCAAACATCATCCGACCACGGTTCGCGGGACGTGCATCGACCACGTCTTTGCAAATTTCTACATTCGACCGCTGCAACCAGACCCACTCACCCTTCACTTTGGGACCATAAAGCCATCTTGCTCAAAATACCCAAAGCGTCTCATCAATAAACATCGTCTTTCGCAGCACACGTGCGTGCGTGTTCACTCGTGTTCACGCATGTTGCAAATTACAAACCACATTTATCGCAGTTCAACATACATGCTCCGCATGCTAACCAGTGTTCCCACTCTGGAAACTGCGGTCATTTTTTGTTAATGATCGACTGGTACACTGGTAACACGGTTGCTTTCAAACTTAAGGTTAGTCAAAAATACACTGGGGCACGGGAACAGAGCAGCTGGACGACACTTTCAGCGTCGATCAGTGCACGTTGGCCTGCACACACGCCATCCACACAGTCGCGCCGCACATGCCAGGACAACTGCCGCCCGCAAGCGGAGAATGAAAGAGCGGCTCCGCATGCGTGCAACTGTGCGGATTGTGCACGTAGAGCTTTGGGCTACATAAAAAGGTTCGTTGCACATTTTGTGGGCAAAGGACAGTTTTCCCTTGTGGAGAGTGTAGTTTTCAAATAGAGGCTCTGTAGTGTTGCCTCTGAAATGAATCCTAGAAGCGGTTTGATTGCACGTTTTTTAATACAGTCATGCGAAATTTTCGCTGTTATAGCTTCCTTGACTTTTTATCCCGCAAATGAACCCTCCCCCTAATTGGCGTCACTTTCTTAAAATAAAGATAAATAAATAAATGTGGGTCTATTACGCGAGTAAATACAGTAGCTTCTGTGAATGTTTTGTGACTGTTGGCTAAATGGCTCGTGGAACAGTTTATGCAGTGCTGTTTGTGCATGTGAAAGAACAACAAAGTGAGAATATTTTTTTTTTTTTGCAGGCGCATGGATTCAGTTCGTTTTGATGTCAAGTTCTTGGAAATCAATGCAAAGAAGTTCAATGAACCAAACAGCAAGATTGTGCAGAAGGCAGTGCTCCTTACGAATCTCCTACTACAATTCATCAAGTAAGCAAGCAAGCCTACTTGGCAGTTGAGATACCAGTATCAGGGATTTTGAACGTCATGAAAACTGCTAACAAGGGCTTGTGTCTTGCGCAGTAATCAGTCCTGCCAAGATCCCATCAAGTTGTATCAGCAGTTGGTGGATGACACCGCTGACAAGTACCACAGTTCTTCGGCTGAGGAAGATGACATCGTGTCCACAGACGCTGAAGTGAATGGGATGGGACCGTCCTCCTCCAGTGTGAAACGGAAAAAGGCAAGTTTTTTTATAAAAAGCCAATTCTTTAGTGCAAAGGATGAGATGGTACAAGCATCCTGTGAGGCATTGCTGTCATCTTGCAGAACTTACTGTAGTGGAAAGTGGCTGCGGCAATCCACTTTGGATTATGCCTTTGCAGGTTTAATTACTAAGGCAGCGTGTAGGAAGGCTCGTGTAATAAATAATGCTGTGCGAATGGCAAAGCTGTGGGTGCGTAGTTAATTCGAATATTGGAGTGTGTGTATGCAAATCGAATCAAATCCAGCTTGGCAGGTCCACATTTAAATTTGCAGTTTATCAAAGTATTTGACAGGTGCTTCAAGTGCTAATGTGGACTTCATTGTATATATTAGTGGGGTAGTTCAAAATACTGCTTTTTTTGAAATAGCAGTGCTCATGTTCACTGTGCATGATTTGGTGACGTTGAATGGTTTGTACTTTTTTGTTTGTTTGTTTGTTTGTTTTTTCTAAATGTGAGCCTCGTGTGTTATACTACTACTCCAACCTTGGTGTTCCATGAAAGAAAGGAAATGAATATTTTACCCACAAAATCTGCTCCGAATTTGGATTTTCATGCTCCAGAAGTGAAGTTTTGCTTCTCCAGAAATTACTCTAAATTCGATTTCAGCTGTAGCACCCCTGCATTAGCAACTGTAAAATTGATAAAAAAGTAATGGCAGCTCAAAACATTTAGTACAGCGACATGAAACATGTGTAGTCATGGCTTAAAGGCATTTTGATATAAAGAATTCTTTCTTAAATGAAATGTGTTATGATCACTATGCCACCATTAAATGCTATCGTATTGTACAGCCATCAGCACGGTTCACATGAACGGTCCGACGCGTGGCATCTCCTCGCTTTGACTGATGTCAGCGCCGCTAATCCTTGGACGTAGTATGTTTGTTGAAGCTAATGATAGATGGAGCGCGTGTTGATTTCGCTAGTGAATTTCTCTTTCACTTCTGTCTGACCAGTGAGTTGTATACACTCACTTGGCTGGTCCATTTTCGCCGTGTTTCCGTCTTGGCTACACCCTGTCGCTGCCCATTAAATCCGTTGTTATGTGCTTATCTCGGCAATGAACTATTGCGTGTGATATCTCCCGCAACTTTCGAGTTTGAAAGCTTTTGCTCAAAAGAAATGATACATTTGAAAAGCAGAGCAAACACACGTTTATGATCTTTGCAAGAGTTGCAACAGGAAGGCGGACATTGTGAATTTATTGTGCAACTTTTACAAACGGCATAAACATGTGTTTGCTCTGATTATCCCATGCATCATTTATTCCGAGCGGAAGCTACGATTTCACACTGGGAAGGTGCATCACATATCGCATCAATAGTTCGTTGCCGAGATCAGCATACGACCCGCCACGGGATCGAATCCTGGCCGCGGAAGCCGCATTTCCGATAGAAGCGAAAATGCTTGAGGCCTGTGTGCTTAGATTTAGGTGCACATTAAAGGACCCGAGATGATATAAATTTCCGGAGCCCCTCCACTACGGCATCTCTCTTAATTGTGTGGTGGATTTGGGGCATTAAACCCTGACAAATATTATTAATATGAGATAAGCATACGACAACAAACTTAATGGGTGTGCGTGAGAGTGCAGCCACGTCAGAAACATAGTTAAAACGGGCCAGCCAAGTGAATGTATTCGACCCGCTGGTCAGGCCGAAGTGAAACGGAGAAATTTACTAGCGAAATCGACTGTGCGCTTCATTTTTAGTTTGTTGCAAAAAACATACCTTGCCAACGATTGGTGGCGCTGGCAGCTGTACTTGTCCTAGGTACTGCCGCCAGAAATGCTGAATATTAACGGCCTTTGTGGACACCTTAGTACCAAATTACGGGTACACTCATTGATGACAGACTCACACTTGCGTGCAGGAAACATTCTTTTTCCATAACGAAATGTGTTGTGGCCACTGTGCCACTGTTTTACGGTATCATGCTGTACTTGTCCCAGGGACTGCTGACAGTAATGCTGAATGTTATCGGCCTTTGTGCACATCCTGATACTATATGCGGGACCACTCGTTCATGGTAGACTTGCTCTTGCTTGCAGACTGACGACGTCCAGCAGACCCCAAAAACGGAGAGCCCCCGATGCTGCCCCTCTGACGTCCGTGACATGGAAAGGCCAGTGCCAGGAACTGTTGAACTTCATCTTCCAGTGCGAGGATTCCACGCCTTTCCGGCAGCCAGTGGACTCTGCTGCCTACCCTGTAAGCCTTGTGTTTATCACAAATTGAGCGAATAGGGCATCCATGGTTGCATTTTTTTGTCTTCTCTGCGTGTCCTGCTTGTGTTAGATGTAGCGAATCGACTTCAATTTCTATTTCAATTTGTTTATTTCAGACACATATACAAGAGAAATATGTCCACGAGGTAAGGCAAAAGGAGACTCTTATGTCTCCTGACGAGGCCTTTACCCCAGACTTGCATGTCCGACAGCAGGAACAGAAGTCGGCAACAAAAGCAGGGAAAACATGTCGACAAATAGAAATAATCAACTTCTTATTATGGAGTATCCAAATAAAGGTCAAAATGAAACAAACACTTTCACATAAATATAATAAAACAATTTTTTACAAACTGTTATAGAGAAAGTAAATGTCTTTGCATATGAAGCATACTCTATACAAAGCAAAAGGTAGTGTGCTAGATTTGGGTGCACGCTAAAGAACCCCAGGTGGTCGAAATTTCCAGAGCCTTCCACTATGGCGTGTCTCATAATCATATGATGGTTTTGGGACATTAAACCCCACATATCAATCATCATCATAGCAAAAGGTAAACAGCAGCATTTTACGATACATCATTGAAAACTTATAAATTTGTAGGAGACAAAAAGTAGTTTTACTTGTTCTTTAAAACTCGAAATACATTTGGTTTCATTGCCTAGTTTAATTAAGGATGACTGTGAATTACACAACAAAATTGTTTGATAATTTAAAGTTTTAGTGCCGCAGTTAGTTCGTGGTCTTGATCCTGTCAATGACATAGTACGTAGGTTGTATGCCACTTGTCTGTTTAAATATTTGTTTGAGAAGGCGGTAAATCGTGTTTAATATCGTGGAAAGTTGTTGTAGCTAAGCAAAGTTTATACAACTGAGAGAACGGTAGTATGCTCAAAGTATAACACAGCAAATCAGTTAATGAGGGCAGATGAGAGTAAATCATTTTCAAGCTTCTTCTTTGTTAAAGAGGACACAAGTTCGGCATCTGTCCTGTTGCATGTACCCCAGACTAGATGGCAGTATGTTAGATAGGAATGAATAAATGAGAAATATAATTGTTTTTTATTATGTAATGGTAAAAAATATTTCAATTTGTATAACATACAAAGAGACGTAGATAACACGGACATAGTTCATATGTTCAGACCAACTGAGGTCAGACCTAAAAATTACCCTAGAAATTGACAAGAGTTTACGGGTGCTATTGTAGAATGATTGATACTCAATTCAAGGTCATGAAAGAGCGGCTTATATCTTTGGACGAAATATTACGTACTGTGTTTTCTTTACGTTTAAGTTAAGGGCAGACTCATCTTAGACATTTTTCGTTTATTTCTTCACTGATCTTGATCGAAATGCACTGGCTTGTGAGGCTTTTTCTGCTGATTTCAAATATGTAGTTAAGTTTTTTGTAACTCATTTTGTTCCTGAGGAAACCTAAGTTCACCCCTATTGTTTAAGGTCATCATAGAAAAAAAAAGTTTAATTAAAAGTGATAATTAAGATATGGCAACATAGACTAATGACTAGAGATCGAAAGTATGCAAGTTTTTTTTTGCCCTTTTTTGATTATTTTACACGAAAATGAATTTTTCATTTTTAAAAGCAGTTTGAATTGTGACAATTTTGATAAATATTTTTTTTTGAAAGGCTTGTACTCTAAATTCTGCTCCCATACTTGCAATCTATACACTTGAGGTTCCTATTGCAAAAGGAATTATTGTTGTGCCTGCCCTAGCTGCAGAGATGTTGAGGCCTCAAGATTGAACAGTCGTAAATTTACTTTTCTGGGAAAAATGTAAAAAACTGCTAACACCCAGTTTCTTCAAAGACCATCAATCGCGGTTTGCATGTTTTGCAATGCTCATAAAAGCACTCATAAATTGGTATTAAAGCTTCAAACGCAGGTAATGGCACATTATAAAGAAGCCCCGAAGTAGGTTCCCCATTTTTCAGCAGGTTCTGCATTGTGCTAGCACCAAGAATCGGGACAGTCAGAATGACATTACAAAAAATTACCACTTCCTGGTGGGTGAAAATTTGCATAGAGATAGAAAAATACTTGCAGAAACCAAATATGTCAATTTTAAAAAAAATGCATTTTTTTTGCAATTTTTCAGTCCCGAAGACCAGTCTGCCCCCTTAATCTCATTCTCACTCAGCCAGATGTGAAGTTTGTTAAGCCAGGTGTCTGCACGCTGCTCTATACGTTTAGATCTGGACCAGAAAAGAAAACATCAGTGTCATTGGCGTGCATAACAATGGCAGGAGTAAAAGGAATATTCGTGATATCATTAATATGTAAAATAAAAAGCAGAGGACCCGAAATTGATCCTTGTGGAACCCCAAAGCTTATGTTTCCCAAGTCTGGCTTGAATTCGTGAAGCTGTGTGTAATGGGTTCTGTCTTCAAGGCAACTCTCAATTAATGTAAGCGCCAGTCCGCGGATACCATATGTTGTTAACTTTTGAAACAAAATTTGGTGCTTGATCGAGTCAAAGTCTTTTCGAAAATGAAGAAAAATTTCTACTGTAAAAAAGTCGCTGTTCAAAATTACTGAGTATATATTTTTTTAATTTGCAGTATAGACGGCAAATAAGTGCAATTAAGTGAAAAAAAGAAATGGGACTCGACACATCACAACAAAAGGCCTAGTGAACCGATGTGATCAATGCGATGCCCCGGCGTTTACTAAATAAGATGGCCGGTTCATGAACCGTGGCGCTGCGGGCATTGGCGATGGTGACAAAAGTGTGGTTAAACAGCTGTCTCGGTGGTCTTGGCACATGGAAAATTCCCAATTTTATTGAAAAATTACGGTCGCCTCAAGGCTCTTGATCGAAAAACTTCTAATTAACCAATATTATGGGCTTACAACTTCGAATTATTGAGCTTTTTTTTTTCTATAAGCATGCATGGACAGTTGATGGGACCACTTGTTCACTTCTAATTAACCGAAAATTTCAATTAGTGACTTTAAGTTGTCGGGAGTCGGCTTATAGGCAACATGCCGTTTTTGTTTGTGTCTAGGATATCGAAAGTGTTTTTTACTGGGGCTAGTTAATGCATGTTGTAATAAGAATAATGTGAACTAATACTGTGCCTGTCTTTTTGCCTAACCCATCAGTTAGCGCTGTTGCCACGACCAGGATTGTTCGAGTGTTTATGGTCTACATTTGCAGGACTATTCCAACATAATTGACATGCCAATGGACCTGAGTACAGTGAGGGATCGGCTCACGCGAGACCTCTATCCTAGCCCTGTTGAATTTTGCAAGGACATGCGACTCATATTTGCCAATTCTCGGAACTACAACACCAACAAGAAATCCAGGGTACGTGGTGGTCACTGCATTGCATAGGCTGACATGGCAAACAGAAAAGCCTCTATACTTTATGGCCTTACCGCACAAACAACTTAGATCATGATAGTTAAAGCATGGGTTCCTAAACTCTGCACTGAAGGGCTTATATATTATGCGACTGTCATGCTTATTGATTAAAGAAATATTCTTGGTTTCTTTTACATGCTATTACAGTTTTGTAGTCGACTGTGCCAACACTGTCGCATGCTTCTCCTTTCAGATTTACTCCATGACAATACGAATGTCGGCTTTATTTGAAGAACGCATTCGTCAAATCACCAGCGATTGGAGGTCAGCAGTGAAGTACGAGACCAAAGTGAAGAACAACCAGTATGTTAGCAGCAGGTGAGATCCCCCTCCTTCCCTCCCTCCTTCTCCTCTCTTTCTCGCTCTTTGTTTGTTCTGCCAGTGCAACTTCAGCTGTAGTGTTAGTAGCAGAAGTTGGTGCAATGCCCCATATCTTGTATTTTGAAACAACCTGCTGCAGTGTTCTAGTGGTAATGGTGATAGAGTCCTGACCCAAAGGTCGCGAGGCCATATTTTGGCCGTGGCGGCCACATCTACATGCAGTCGATCCCGGGTATATCGAACTCGAAGGGGACCGCAAAATAGCTCAATGTATCGATAATTCGAAATACAAAATATGCGTATTTAAGGCCTAAATTGAAGCATTTCAGGCTGCGGAAATTATTAGAAGTGCTAACATAACAATTCGCTTAAAGTATAATGAAGAACAAGGTGTGAACTGCAAGTTACCGCACTTCATTTCGCATGAAAATAGTTCGTAAACTTGTCTTGCTCCTTGCGCGCCATCAAATTACACTCATCCGCAATATCATTGAAGCTTTTCAAATAGTGCGAATTCAGCTCCTTTGGCCTCAACAGCATTGATTGAAGCAGAACTCTGATGCAAGCTTTGTAGCACTGCAAAAGATTGGTTGGCAGCAGCAGCAAAAGCTTTGGCATATTCATAACCGCATGGTACACTTCCACGGCACCAGACACGGCAGCCATCATCTTGGCATCTGTGCAGTCAGAGACAGCAACGTCATCATCTGAACCGATAAGTCGCTCACTGTCCGTAGCTGCGTCAGAGCCAGCAAAATATGTATATAGAGCCAGCAAAGAAGTGCCGGTGCACCCTTGCGCTTCTTTGTGTTCCCCCTTGGTGCGACTGGTGAACAGAAGACAGCGGGGAGAGTACAAGAGAGCGCGGGCACCGAACAACCCTGTTGTGTCCTTCTTCGCACTGACACTCGCTCATTGAGATGAAGTGGCCACCATCATGACGTACCCAGCACAGAGCCTGTGCGGTGTGTCACGTGGAAACTAGGCTGTCCTGCCGCATAATGGCAGACTTTCAATTGCGTTTTTGTTCGTAAGGCACAAAGTATCTTTAATTAATTGCCGCTGTAATAACAAATAAAAAAATTCTGTTATTGGTGGTAAGACCATTGAACTATTTCTTGGTGCGAGCGCATGTACTGCAAGAACTCTGGCTAGCCTCATACTAGTTCTCACTAGCTTCCACTGAAATAAAATGAAGAGCAGATACATTAAAAAAGTTTTTTTTTTCCTTTTTTTTTTCAAGGACTAAGGTGGGGGTGTTCATTATGCGAGCGGATTCATTGCGAGAGTAAATACGGTCATAAACACTGAAATCGCCACACACAGGGCAAGATGCTTCTTGGTTGATATTTCAAACAGTTCCACGTACCCACATGGTGGGTAGATTGGCCTCAGTTAAGCATCGATTGTCCTGTTCCTGATTTTTAATTTTTTCTTTTTTCTGGCACTGTTTCAGACGCCACCCAGCAGCAGTGCTTGATTTTTCAAGTGACTCTCAGCCATCGTCATCAAGGACAAGCGGCCATTCATCACAAGCCGGAACGTCCTCATCCACTACGAGATCAGCTGGTAAACTTAGCATATGTTCATTGTCAACTTCTCTCGAGTGAAGCATTGGTTGCAAAGCACTGGTGGTGTGTCACGCGCATGCTGTAAAGTCAGATGTTTTGTACCCTCCGGTGGCTGATTTTTTTTGCACTTTCAACTTTCATTCCTTTTTATTTTGCAATTGCCACACTTTCCCCCTACGTTTTCCTCTACACCTGCTTGCAATTTTCCACACAGTGATAAAAATTAGTGCAACTTTCTCTACTGGTGCAAGTGGAACCATTAGCTCCTCCTTTCTGTCTGTACTCACTTTCTTGCCCATCTGAGTTATTGCATCCCACGCTGGACAAATCACTGCAGTGGGGGAGCGTGTGCCAGGTGCACATCTTTCAAGGCAGTAAAGCAGAAGAGGACAAAGAGCGTGTGCACAGTTCATGATCATATGAAAGTATTGGGAGCGCAAACTAACGGGACACAAAAGAGGAAACAAACAAGCGCCCGTTAGTTTGCACTCCCAATACTTTCATTATGAATATATACCAACTAGCCCGCCTATCAACCCTTCTACAATTCATGATGATAGTTTCTTGTCTGAGAGACCACGGGTTTCTCAAGCTCCACTGTTGAAAACTCTCAAATCAGGCACTTTGCTGGAAGTGTAGCCACGAATTGTTCTTTTAGGTGTGCTCATACAAGCGAGTAACAATAGGAATGCTGAAGCCAGTGCCAGTACCGTCGGTGGCAAGTGCCAGTTCTTTTTATATGAGCAGCTATAGGGGCTAGTTGGTTGTACATTTTGGATAATCGACCTTTTTTCAACATACAAAGATGGACTGAATATGCTCTGTGTCTGTGGTGTATTCAGTTCGTCTGATACAAAGATGGACTGAATATGCTCTGTGTCTGTGGTGTATTCAGTTCGTCTGATTATGTTAAATTATAAGTTGGTCGAGCCGGTGACCTCACAAAGAGAAGCATTCTGAAGGGGGAAATTTCTTCATGGTGACGGGTAGATTTGTGTTGTGCAGCAAGCTTTTGCCGAGAATAGTGTAGCACTTCGTAACTGTATCTCTGTCTTGCCCGATTGCCATAATTGTAGATGTCCTACTGTGTTCAGTGAGACTATTGCATACGGGCAACTTCTGATGTTTCTTTTTTCTTTTCTTCCTGTATCTTTTAGTGCTCCAAGTGAAGTGCTATGCTGAGTCAGATTCCGATACGGATGAGGATGTTGACTCGAAGCAGATTGTGCAGGCCAGCAGTTTGGTTCGGTCTACCAGGTCGAGCGGCCAAGGTGTGCACCTTTCTCTTCTGTAGCCTCGTCTTATTCATTTCTTGTCAACATGCGGTTGTCTTGTTCGTGAGGTTTCGTGTGTGCGCCTTGTCAGCAACCTCTCTCCATCAGGCATATGGCATTGCTTGAGTTTTAAAAAATTGCCATTTTGTGCAGGTGACCGAATGGTAAACGGGAAGAAAACCTCTCCCGCCGTGACGTGGAAACTGCAGAGTAGCTCCTCTAGCGAAACTCTGTCCAAAGGCAGCCGCAAGCGAAAGGCCACTCGGTACATCTCTTCTTCGGACGGGGACGACAGCCACGGGGACGCCGAAGAGGAGGCAGGCAGCATTGAATGCAGCCAGGATTCCAGTGAGGACGAGAACAGTGAAGAGCAGCACGGCGAAGAATACGATGACAACGACGACGACTCTCCTCCGGGCAGGCGTAGGTCGTCGAGAAGAGCCGCGCGCACCAATGTGATCGGCAGTGATGACAGCAGCAACTGGACCAGCTGCAGTGGAGAGAGCAGTTCATCTAGAAATACGATGGACCGGAGGAAAAAGCGCGAGAATAGCAGTGGTGAGTCAGAGATGACAACGGGCAGCTCAGAAAAGTCTTCTTCCTTCATGACGGACCATGACTACGGACAACCGCGGCGATCGTCGCGCAAGCCCTGCAAGACAACTAGTTTTTCACCGGAGACGACCGTCAGGTCTCGTGCGACCACCAATAGCAAGACTCGCGTGCAAACGAGAAACCGTGGTCAGCAAAAAGTTCGTTACAGAGAAGACGAAGATTCTGAGTGGACAGGCGACTCGGGCGATGATGAGGACGGCCTTGACTCAAGGGCACGCGAGGTGCTTTCCGTCAGCAGCCGGGGCCGGTTACGAAAACTTTCTAAGCACGCGGCACGTGCCATGGTGGCCCAGTGAAGTCTGGCTTCACATAATTGATCAGTGGGGTGTCAGTTTGTTGACATCTCCGAGAGCTCAGAGTGTCATCATCTTCACATTGTCCAGCAGCCAAATGATGTTTTCATATGTAAATTGCATCCTTTACACACCGGTTTTTCGTTACTATTTATTGAAGTCATTCATGAAGGCTGCAAAGGGCATTTTTGTGGGTATGTAGCATGAATTTGACAAGACTGGAAGTCTTCATTTAAACATTCCAGTTTTTTGGTGAGCATGCAGTGTTAGAAATTCACCAGACATCATAGTGCTTTTTGTTTATTTTCTTTTGCATGTTTTGTTGTTCATTGTAAATGTCAATCATGTTGATGTAGATAATTAGTGATGCAAATGTCTGTATATATAAGAATTGTTTGTGCATGTAAAAATAACACTTATCATTGTAAACCCTGGTGGTGAGGGCTCTTTCCCAGTGAACTGGAAGAGCAGTTGCGAATGATGTACTTATGTTTGCAGCCTTTTTTAGCTGCGTGAGACATGCAATGCAATTGTGTTAAAGAAGTGATTTCCAGTGTGTGCTTGTCTGCTCACTGCCAGTATGTAAAACAAATGTGAAAAGGATTGGTGATGAAAGATTACACGCTCCTTGAGATTGCAACAGTGACTTCGTGGTTTTTATTTGAGTGAAATTCTTTATACAACTTTCACTAAAGGTATGCCAGCTGTGCTTATTTCTTGAGGAACCTGTTTCATGGCTGCCATTGCAATTAGCACTGTGCATACAAGTCCAGTGTAGTAGACGGGCAACTTCAGAGGGCTCGTACTGCCAAAGGGCCACAACCACAAGCCTCTTCGTATGGAGTCCCTCAGGTGATGCGATGCCACTGCCACAATAGCAATCAGTGCTACTTTGTAGACTTGAGGCAGTCCCAGCAGCTTTCCCAAGAGTGCGAGAACCGACAAGCTCACGAGCACCGCTGAACTGCAGTGTAAGAACGGTCTTGTCTTCAGGTTTGTGGCATTCTGAAAAAGATTTAATGGCACACCTATTTAGCAACAGGTTCCAGTACTGCAATGTCCACAACAGGTGCCAAGTCTCATCCACATATGCATAAGCATGGTTCAGCCTATTTGCATTTTCACCGTAGTTGGTGAGCATGTAGTAATGCAATGGCAAATGCACCACCTGCCAACTTGAACAGAATTTGTACAGATGATCTAGCCAAATCGCACCTTTTGTAAGCCCTGTGGGAGAGAAGCTCGGCATTAATGGTCCGGCTAACTGGGTAGCCTAGTGAAATCGCAGATGTCTGGTGCTCTTGTGTTCGAAAGTTTATGCTAACTACAAACCCAACACTTGAGTATATTTTCGTAATGTATACACGTCTCATGCTTTGCACAGAAAAGCAACACGTGAAACTGAAAACCAGCATGTGTGCACTATGGATGGTGGTATCTATGAGTGTTGCTCCTAAGACGGGCGACATCAGCTGCCCAAGCGCATAGCTTGCAGTAGAATTCGTTTTAAAGGCCTCGCGAGAGCGATATACAGACTTTGATAAAACCGACTCGAATACATTGATGCGGTAGCTAACAAACTATTCCCGCTGTACCATTAGCCAATATTGTTTTACGACTGTATTGGAGCGTCAAGTCGCCTTCCGAATGTTTAAGAACGAATACGTCTATTAAAACAAGCGCGACAAATAGCTTTTAGCTGCTGCACGCGAGCTCGCAGCATGCCGTCGTTTCCGTTACCTCTATTTTGAGAGATCTTGCGGCAAGAAAGTGATCAACGTCGACGGCACAGCCGAAGAGACCGCTAAGCAAGCTCTCCAGTAGGCTGGCCTTTCGCAACGTCCGGCCCGAAACCATAACCCAGCATAGGAACGCGATCAGACCGTGCGTCGCATTGTCCGCCAGCGCGCGAAGCCACGGAAGCCGAGCCAGTCCCGTAACGTAATCCCCTGCCGTTGAGACCGCCGCCGTCAGAGCAGCAGTGAACAAGTAGAAGGCCACCATTACGATGTTGCTTCAGAACGTACACCGAAGCGACCGAAGGTAACGCAAACATGCTGACATGCCCTGTTGGCTCAAGACGCTCAAGGCACTACGTGTGGAGTGACACGCGCGCCTGCACACCCTTTGCGCGCATTTCTGTCTGCAAAAAAACACTCCCGAAGCGAAAGCAAAGTAAATAGCGGTTGCATAAACATTGCTACATATGTTGCCATATGATCATGAAGTTTGCGTTAGGAGTCAACGCCATTAGAACTTTACGTTAGCACCAGCGAATTATGAGCTCGACATGGAGTTAGTACATCGAACTAATTTATCCTATTTGCGCTGTTTTTTTAGAAACTTGCATTAATTTTAGGAAACTATATGAACTGAGCCACAGAGGTTTCTACAGCATTTCCAGGAAGCTCAATGAGCGACGCAAAACGCGACACGCACTAGAGTTTTGATAGTTTTGGTTTCGGCAATTTTAGAAATTGACCATTACAAAAACTATTTAGCATTTTTCTCAGTGAGTAGAAGTATTAAACATCTCCCAGGTTGACATAAAACGATATATTTTACGATAAAACATCGAACGCATATTTCACTAAACAGCTCGTTTCCTAGTTGTGTGTGTCAAGCGCGAGCGGCAACCATGTGCTTCGTCTTGATATTTTGATGTGTAGCGTGTGCTGGAAATATCCGACACATTCTGGCTTCAATGAAAAGCGACGCAGCAGTAAGTATAACTTGTTGAATCAGTTGAAAGTCTGTGAAAGTTACGTTTGGGCACCTAACCGGTACGGTAAACCGCCGTCTAGTGCTTACCGAGGCAGCGCGTCACCGTTTCGTCATTGAGAGCTAGGCCTAGTGGCCGATGCGCCTGAAATAATGTATTTTTGGCACTTGCCTACCAACCGTTGACGATTGTGTGATTTGATGCGCGACTCTTGAAGAAGCCGCCAGGCCTATGTGCGTATCATCTTGTTTACGAGTCTCTCGTATGTGCGACGCAGCGAGTAGTGGATTCATTCGGTGGGCCATTGCGCCTGACGCCGCCTGAAGCGTGTGGCTTCGCCTTTTTGACAACGCTGTTGGTCGTCACCCGTGATGTGCGCCGAGCAGGAGTCCGAAGTATGTACATCGCAAGTACGCGCAGTCTTGGCTTTACTGGCTCAGAATTTCGCAACGTCATTTTCAAGCTAGCCGTAGCGGGCGTTTTAATGCAGTTTCGACGAAGTATTCGCTCCGGGCGAGGCGCCTTCTGCTACGAAGAAAAGAGACGGCCGGCTACGCCTTAAAAACTCGGAAGGGCGGTGTTTTTGTGGCGTGTCGGTAGGACACTGAACTGTTTCTTACGCATTGTTTGAGCCCTGAACGAGTTTGCCGTGAACTGCCTCGTTTAAGTTCCTTGTCAGTGACAGCCCCGTCGTTTTTATCAGTCGCGAACCCCACTTCGCACGAAAAGAGCCTCTTGTATTTTTTTTTTTTCTTGACACTTGCCTGTTTCTTATTTCACTTCATTATCGTTCGTTCGAGTACGCCGGACATTCCACCGTGTCCGTATATTTGTATCGGTCAGTTCGCAGCAGGATTCCGCTGCAGTTTTTATTATTCGCGCGCTGATAAAAGAAAAAAAAAAATTCGACCGCCTCGACTCTTGTCTCGTAATCTCCGCTGCGGCGGCTTGTCTGCCCCTGTTTTCGACTTGTTCCGAACGTGTCGACGCGTCTTTTCAGTGGTTGCCGTTTCAAAACCGCGTCCGTGACGTCAGCTTTTTTTTCTCGGTAAATTGACAGCTGAGATTTCAGTTTACGCCTCCGGGCTAGAGTTACCGTAACTCTACTCCAGGCGAGACGGAGGCTTCTTCTCGCTGTGTGTTCTTTTCTGTGAAAAAAAACAAACAAACGAACAAAGCGAACCTTGAATAGCTGTTGACAGAGGCAGACAAAACCAAGACTTCCTGGTTTCTGCCTAATTGCTACCTGATATTCGATGCGTGTGCTCCACAAAGTAATTTTTTTTTTGTTTATCAGAGGTTAAGTAGTAGTGGTACGTGATCGGGGTGTAGTGCTAAATTGTCAGATTTGCTACAGTTATTTATCTGGTATGTTGAATCTTGAGTGGCGCCCCGTGAACACTGTGTAATGCGGACTTTTAAAAGCAACCACCGAAAGTTGCGTTTCTGTTTTATCATGCCAAGAATGTTGAGAAAGTCAATATGCATTACTGTTGAAGATTTTTTATGTAAACTTTCGCCGAAATGCGAGTGTTACATCAACGATCATAAGTAGGAAAGGGATTGTGCAAAAGAAAAATGAAGTTGTAGGCACATATTAAAAATGAACCACTGTTAATTTATAATAATAATAAGCTAATAAATTATAAGCTAAAGTCAGTTAGAAAAGTATTGCAAGATATTACAGTTAGTTTTAAATGATTACCTACAGCATAAAAAGTTGCATACGTTATACTTTGTCATTTTACAGGTGAGCAGACAACAAATTTTATGCTTAAATGCTTATTACAAAAGGTGTTATAGTTTGCATTACTGTGGAATGCAAAAAAAAAAATCTAGTTTCAAGAGAGGTGGGTTTAATATTTAGTCCAGGTTATGAAACATGTTTCATATAATAAATTCATCAGTGTCAGCTTTGGACCTCCTTGGGAAGCACGGTTTATTCCTCGCATGTTTAGCATACAAGTTTGACTTGTGTTCAGCCAGTCCTGCAAAAAATTTAGAAATTTCAGTCATGTCCTAGCAAGGTTTTTTGCCTGCCAGCTTCAAAATGGGGGTGTGCCCTCCCTGTTAGCATCATGGTACTTGGTTTACATCATTGTAAAAGTCAAGTTTATAGGCATAAATATACAATTTTTTGCATTAATGGAATGCTGGGCTACCTCCCATAGCCCACTAGTTTTATAGAGAAAACATGGGATGTTCCATTCTTTTGCTGCAATAGAACGACATGCGAGTACAACACGAGAAGACAGATGTGCACTTCTCGTTTCGTACTTGTGCCATTTTAGTGCTGCAAAGGAACGATGCCATACCAACTAGCCCCCATTGAATCCTTATTGAATCCTTATAAAATGCTTTTGTAATATATGAATCGATAAATTATGACATTGTCTATATGCAACGAAATTTCTGGTAGTTGGAACAAATTAAATCTGAAGCTTTGTTTCGGGTGCATGTGGGCAGGGCTGAAAAACTTATTTTCAATGGATCAAGGTACACCCATATTTCTTTGTCCAAAATAATTTATATAATAAATAGGGGAGGTCCCAGAAATGTAAAAAAAGTTGAAAAAAACATGTGTCAAAGAAACCTTTTTGAAGGGGGCAACATATATTAGACACTAAAGTGGAACAATGAATCGGCTTGGGCTGATAAATTAGTTTTTGAACACTTTATTTTTGTTAGTTCCACTATTACAGGTTTATAGGTTAATCGTTAAAATATAAAATTAAGGCAGATATAATCTCTTGACTTGTTTTGTTGCCTGTAAGGTTGCCTTCCAGTGGTTTCAACTTCGTGCAGAATCCTGTCATGTATTCATTAATTAAATAAGTTTAATGCAGGATGGTTAGTGTCAATAAATACAGTTCTACAGCCAATTCTTGTCTTCTTTTTTTAATCAGCTTTTTTCTAATGCCTTGAAACAGTAACATTTGCTTTTGTGTAATGTGGATATCACTGCTTGATAATAATATTGTAACATCAACCATATGCTAAACACTTAATTTTCATGGATTGTTTTTGACAGCTGAATTTGATTGGAGTCAGTGACTCACATTTTTTACTTTTTCTAGTTTCTAGACCGATGCAAGTGTATAGGTGGTGTCCGTTACAGTATTGACTTGCAAGGGTCTGAAAAAACAGTAAACGCTTATTGTGCACTTTCTGTCCTCCATACCGCAATGTGTACACTAAAACCTGTACTTCGCATCCCTGCTGAGAGTTTGCGACGGCGGGCTCTAGGACATCGAACTAGAGTGCATTTCAATTAGGGAAAAATTCTTTGTCATGCACAGTGAAGAATGCTAATATTCAAAATTAATCTTCTACTGTGACTTCCTTCTAACCCTTTAAACAGTTTTGCCTTCTAACTGCACAATTTAGGGTAGCCTTTAATTTTCTGGAGCACCTATTTCAGTTATTTAATTCACTTGTAAGCTTTGAAAAATTACTCACATTAACTAAAAGTAGTATTAATGTTGCTGTGAAGTGTTGGCTATTAAGTTAGTACTTACGCTTCATCCTGGGGGAAAAAATAAGCTAAATTAAATTTTATGTGCTTAGAAATCATGTATAGTAGTTAGCAGCGCTTTTGAATTAGCCACACTTAGGCGTTACATGCGATCCACAAGACTATTTGAAATTATATCGCAGAAGTTCACTTCAGAATGCAGATAGTGACAGGCTTTAATGACTAGGGCAAACCTTAACATGGTTCCAAAGGTGCTTGAAGAAGCGTCTGCTTATGCGTACTGCCAAGAACATTACCGCGGTAATGGTGTACTATGTTTTGTTCAGTGTTATAGAAGTAGAGTTTCGGGCATTTGATTTAGGCCATTACCAATTGATACCTGCATGGCACTGAAAAAAAAAAAAAAAGCTTGTTTTCCCAGTTAGTTTGCTGTGTTTACTTTGAAATGTTCTAAGCACTCCGAGATGCCAATTCATTTGTTCATTCACGAATGCAGGGTGTGACAGTCATTGCTTTCTTTGACAGTCCATGGCTTTTGTCTAAATAATCCCCGGCAAACATTTGGTATATGTGCAGCATGCAATAGTTCGTGCAAACCTGCTTTAAGCTGGTACTTTGCGTAATAGTTTAAATGCCTATTTATGCCTAAATGACAGTATTGAGGGCTTATTATAGGCACCTAGAACTTTTTTTTTTTTTTAAACTTTCGGTTTCTACTTATATCTATGTGCTTCGAGTTGTTGATAAATTTGCCCTCGAGCTGTCAGTTGATAGCTTCCTGGCTAGATAAATTGGTAAAGCGGCCACCCCGGAAAGGCGTTGGTCCCGGGTTCGAACCCCGGACCAGGGCGTATTTTTTGGCCACTACGAGGCTTTTCTTTCCGAGAAATCGGTACAGATTTTCTTGTGGATTCGTGCTAAGAACAGGTGGTTGTCTTCATCCCCTTTCTTGAGATGTTTCTTTGGAAAATACTCGCATGTTTACCAGTTTACTGCAGAGGTGAAACTCGCGAGTTGATGTCCTTGCAGGCGACAGCAGGCGTACAGGGCAGCGGCAGCCGTGCTTGGATGGAGGTAGTGCTTGGCTCGAGCGGCGAGTATTGCCTGGCACAGCACAAATAAGGGAGCCCCTCTGCCAATGTACTGTGTGCCCTATGGGGTAAGCGGTCTGGCTGACTGTGCAGTGCTGCGCCGCTGTGCCATGTCCGCACCAGCCATGAGGCAAAAGGGGGCAGCCATGCGGCCGGGGCCTTCCGAGATCGACTTCAAGAACATGCGCTTTCTCATCACGGACCGCCCCACTGACGCCACTGTGCCAGCCTTCCTGGAGGTGGGTCTCTGCTCGCTCACAGCTAGAGCTGTAACAGGTAGAAAAGGCAGAACTATGCCTTGAAAGCTGGAATTTCTATGAAAGGTGCCCATATGTGCACAACAAAGTAGGCTGTTAGCTCCAAACGTTTGCCTTTGTTGCGAATCCTATTATCATACTGGCCTGCAAATGTAAGTTGTATTGACTGAAAGACAGCTGTGTTTCGAATCACGGTAGTCTTTATTCAATACTCACTGTTCTTTTGCAAGTCCATACTGCAACACACATTTATACCAGTCTTTCTAGTTGCATTGCACAGATCACATGTTTGACAAAAAAATGCTGGCATTAGATTCCAGTTGTCTGCACTCTTTTTTTCTCGTTTTTGGGGTGTTTGCAGTGAACAGTGACAAAAGCTGTCTCAATTACAAACGTGCCTGCGAAGACTAATGTGCATGAGCCCCCCATTCCTGTTTGTCATATTGTACCACAACCAAGAGCTTACGGCGACACCTTTTAAACACTGTGTATTGCAAAGAGTATATGGCCAAGCTGTCATATTGCCAACCCTTACTAAAACAGTTTTACTGCACTTGGTGTGCTTCGGGTTGGCTTTGTGGGCAGAAGCAGCCTTGCTACTTTTATTTCCGCAATGGTCTTCCATATACTGGCAATTCATGAATCGTTATATTTATGTAGAGCCTTGGATGAATCTTCAGATGCAATATCAAGATCTTAGGTTATTCTTTATGAAGTTCATTTTATTGGTTGACCGTGCAGTCACTGTCCTACACCTGCTACCTACCATTGTAGGCCTTTGTTACAAGGTGGTCACAGTACTGTCTTAACTCTCAATCCAGTTGATGCCATGTTCCATTACAAATGATCTTCCTCATGTTTGGATTAATGTACTCCTATATAAGTATATATGTGTAGAAATATCAGCCGTCATGCAGACACTGTGGAATCAGGGCGTCGATGAAGTATATATAAACATACTGGAAGAAATCTACAGTGGATCAACTGCTACCATAGTGCTTCATAAAGAAAGCAACAGAATACCAATCAAGAAGGGTGTAAGGCAGGGGGACACAATCTCCCCAATGCTTACAGGAGGTTTTCAGAAGCCTAGAATGGGAACAGTTAGGGATAAGAGTTAATGGAGAGTACCTTAGTAACCTGCGCTTTGCCGATGACATTGCATTGCTGAGTAACTCAGGGAATGAACTGCAACTCATGATTACGGAGTTAGACAAGGAGAGCAGAAAGGTGGGTCTTAAAATTAATCTGCAGAAAACGAAAGTAATGTACAACCTCGGAAAAGAGCAGCGCTTCGAGATTGGTAATAGTGCACTTCTAGTTGTAAAAGACTATGTCTACTTAGGGCAGGTAATAACCGCGGAGCCAAACCACGAGATTGAAGTAACTAGAAGAATAAGAATGGGGTGGAGCACATTTCGCAAGCACTCTCAAATCATCACAGGTAGATTGCCACTATCATTTAAGAGGAAGGTATATAACAGCTGCATCTTGCCGGTACTTAGCTACGGAGCAGAAACCTGGAGACTTACAAAGAGGGTTCAGCTTAAGTTGAGGACGACGCAGCGAGCGATGGAAAGGAAAATGGCAGGTGTAACCTTAAGAGACAAGTAGAGAGCAGAGTGGATTAGGGAACAAACGGGGGTTAAGGATATCATAGCTGAAATCAAGAAGAGGAAATGGACATGGGCTGGGCATGTAGCGCGTAGACAGGATAACCGCTGGTCATTAAGGGTAACTGACTGGATTCCCAGAGAAGGCAAGCGGGTTAGGGGGAGACAGAAGGTTAGGTGGGCAGATGAGATTAAGAAGTTTGTGGGTATAAATTGGCAGCAGCAAGCACAGGACTGAATTAACTGGCGGAACATGGGAGAGGCCTTTGTCCTGCAGTGGACGTAGTCAGGCTGATGATGATGATGGTTCTCATTGATTTCACACGAATATACTGCACACTTGCACTGAGAAAAGGCTCATTGAGCCACTGCCATACCTGCTAAGTATCCCGGATTTTCTGGAAGACTCCCGGATTTGGACTAGTCTTTGTTTGTACGGTTGTCAGAAAAATCTGAAAATCAAAATTTCTGTGCATGATCTGGCCGCATTGACAAAAATGCAGCTCAATACGATCCAGGCTTTTTTGCGAACCCATTGCATTTTATTCTAAACGAATTTAGGAGGCATTCATCTAAACATACACTGGAATCTCAATGATGCAAAATCGGCAGATACGAATTCGTGAACTTCCCCAGCCAAATTTCACTATGTCGATTGGGCCAAATTCGGATGTCCCAAACACTTTTCCTGATCATGCATCGTGGCAGGTCGTATAAACTTTAGTACCTAAACCGTCAAATGAAGGCAAAGAGCAGCGTGCTCGAAGCTTCGGAAGAACGCGCGCAGCCTGCGCACGCTTCGATTATCATTTGCCACAACTGCTGTGGACGAAATTGTGGTAACTGGCAGAACTCTGAAGGTTCATGCATCTCCTACACTTTACGAGTCAAAGCGAAGTTCTTTCCACAAATGCTGTAGATAAAACAGCAGCAGGTGCGATCATCGATAACAGAAAAAAAAAAAAAAGGCTTCCTTCTGAAAGCACTTGCACAGCCAGCGCACGCGGAATGAAAATAAAACTACCATTTTCTGCAAACGTTGCGATCGCGTTGTCATGATCATCGATGGCGACTACTAGCCAAGGGCATGTGGCTAATGCAGCGGTAGATTAAAAACGGTAAAGACGTAACGAAGGCTAGAAGCGTTTTGGCTTTCCTGTCCAAAGAATCTAGTACCAGCGCACGCGGAATGAAAACAAAACTACCATTTTCTGCAACCGCTGCGATCGCGTTGTCATGATCATCGATGGCGACTACTAGCCAAGGGCATGCGGTTAATGCAGCGGTAGATTGAAAACAGGTAAAGACGTAACAAAGGCTAGAAGCGTTTTGGCTTCTCCTGTCCAAAGAATCTAGTAATGTTTCTGTCAATCTGCATACTTTGGCTATACTTCAGCATCCAGTTTTTAGTTGGCCTCAAACGAAGCTTCGACCCTCGCTTCCCCAGCAGCTGGCTGTGTCGTCTCATCCGTTCACATGTCTCGCAGGAACACATACGCAAGTTCTTCTGCTAGGAATAGATATTGCTTGTTTTTTGACGATGCGTAAGTTCAAGAGAGACAAAAGTTTGCGAACCCCCTTTGAGACTCGCACCTTCTACGTTAGTTGGTAAACTTTACCTTCGTGTGGTCAGCCACTCCAAGTTATTATAAGACCACAATGCCAACGTTTACGTAAATCTCCCGGACTCAGGATTCTTGAACTTGGGAGATATGCAGTGCAGTAGAATCTCGGTACATTAAAACTTGGTAAACAAAACTGCAGCTGAAAGGTGACTGTTGCCATTATTATTAGTTTCATACTTCGATTCTGCACCCCTGCGTCCTCTCTCAGTAAACAACTCTCCCCTTAAACAGAGAACATTTTAACCCATTGATGCCATGCTGCTCGTGGTGTCACAGACACTTGTAACTAGTTTTTAGACACTTAGTCTGCAGAATTTTTTTCTACTAATGCTTATTCTATGTTTAATTCCAGGAGTTCAAAAAAAGGAATGTCAAGGATGTGGTCAGGGTATGTGAAGCCACTTATCAGAAGGATTTGCTTGAGAAGGAAGGCATTAACGTGTGGGTAAGTGATTTTATTGGTATTTGCTTCTCTTGGAATTTTTTCAGCCCACTTACAAGTTAATCAGGGCAGGGTCTTAAATTCTAGATGAAGAAAATAGAAAAGTGTACTGAGAAGTGCAATAGGCAGTTATATTTGGGAAGGCACCAATATTTTGTAGGCATGTACCGTGGTGCGCATTAAAAAAGTTACATGGAATCGAACCACTTGGAAGTTTGAGCAGCACTTGGAATACATTATTCGCGGCTTTTAGTAGACAGCAAGTTTGATCAGAGAATCTTTATTTGTAGTGTATCAAAAAACGTTTTTCTGTATTACTGTACCATCTAAAGGTATTGCTGGTCACAGGTCTGTTTGTGGCTTGCGGAATAAAGGTGTTAAAGGTTGAAGTCTGAAATTATGGAAATATGCTTGCAGAATAAATCTACTGCTACAGTCAAGGTTTACAAATATTCGTGCTAACCCGAGAGCCGAAAGCATTGTCAGCACTTGTGTAGTTCATGGCAGTTTCACAGTCAGTGGCCTGAAAGTGCCTGCTGGAAGAAAATGATCAAGGTTTGTCGCAACAGCCTCAACTGTGGCCGTGCTCATCCCAACATTTTGCAGTGCACCGGCACGTTAAGGGGGGACGCGGCTTTGGGATCGCGAAAAATGGCAAAAAAAAAAAATTGATTTTTTGAAACTCAAGTTTTCAGTTTCTGGAACCCTTTTTCTATCTGGTTTCAAAATATCTACCCTCAAAACCGCGCAGAAGTGCTTCGGAAAATTCGTTTCACCCACCTAGGTAGCAAAACTTTTTCTGGAAATGGCGAGAAAACGGCGATCTTCAAAAAAATTATAGCTTCGCGATGCTTGGGCCGGAAGCCGGCTTCTTGGGCTCATCGGAAAGAGCATTTCTCCGTGTTTAACTTTCCCGCCTCAGCTTGCTCCTCCCTTTAACAACAAGCGAGCAAAAAGCAAATGTTTGAAGGTCGTTTTGAGGCCCTTGATTGGCCGTGGCCGCCTTGTTGCCTCAGCTCGCCTCGCCATTGGCCCGATGCTCGCTCAGGGTGATCGTCGTCTGCTGCTTGTGCGTCGCGAGGACATGGCTCTCGCAAATCGCCACTTCGTGACGTGTTCACGGCTTGATAATCACTTAAGATATAACTACGCTTTAGTTACGAGCAGTAAGCGGATGCGCGATCAGGTTACTACCAGCGGGAGCGCGGTCTACGAGCGCCGCGCGTCATCGGAGTCGTCTTAGCTCCGCCGACAGCGAGACTGCGGGCAGGAACGACGCGCTAGCGCATTCGTGGCGACGTGCTTCTTCGCAAGCAACGAAGCTGTAAGCGGCGGCACGATCTGATTACTACGAGTGGCCGCACCGGATGCACGATCAGATTACTACGAGCGGGCGCGCGGCGGTCTACGAGTGCGGCGCGTCAACGGAGTCGGCTTTAGGCCTAACTCCGCTGACAGCGAGACTGCGGGCATGAACGACGCGCAAGCGCACTCTTGGCGACGTGCTTCTTCGCAAGGAACGTACCACATTACTCGCTAGCTCCTCCGAATATCGTACGGGTATTTTACGCATCGGCAGCGGACAACACAGTCAAGCTCGTCACCCCCCCCCCCCCTTCACTGCCAAGGATCGCTCGGAACAGCGGCTAGCAGTTTCGCGCGTCGTCATTCGAAAATGCGATGCCAATGCGATGCAGTGCGTGCCGATTTTTTGTCTTCGTAGTTACTCATTTCGCGGATCGTCATCGAACGCCGCCGGCAAGTGCATTACGCGCCGGCTGCACTGTCCACGCGGCCGCGCACCCCACGGTCATATGGAGTGCCGTCAGTAAGCTTTTGTGATGCGATTCAGACGTGCTTGGAGCCGTGCTTGATATCTCCACGAACGTCTATGAATGTTCCGAGGTTAATGAATTGCTGTAGATTAGAATTTCCGCGACCGGCTGTATGATGATGCGTTTCACGGCTAGAGCGGCGAAAGAGCATGTGTGAATCAGGGGCACGAATTTTTATATGCCCGTTTCGTGTCATTAATTATACTGCTAGAAATTCCCGTGCCACCAGTCTTCTGCCCATAACTTTGTTATTTGGAAAGAAGGCATAGGCCGTCATGGTGTGATCCATTTTTCTGATGCAATAAACTTCTCTCCAAATAAAAAAAGTTCAGTGAATATTTGTAATCAAGTACTTAATTACGCTAATTACAACTTCAGCACAAAAAAGAATGTTTAATAATTTCAGTATATGGTTTTATTCCATTACAATCTTTTCTGTCATACTATCACACCACTCCTTCATACAAAGAACTTGGTTTGAAATCATACTTGTTCTTTGTAACTCATGAAAAGGAGTAAATCATGAAAAGAAGTCAAATATCACAAGACAAACCTGAGATCGCAATTTTTAGGTGTCTTAGAGACATAAAAAAAAGTTGAAACTTTAAACGCAGCTTTCTCAATACTGTTTTTTTTTTTTTTTTTTGACATTATGCTCAGCCCCTCAACATGGTTCAATGAAGAAATAATTTGTTTCTCGTAAAGTATTTGTGGTATCGCTTCAAAATTTTTATGAAAGCACTGTGAGGTTATTCTTAGTGTCTGTGCCAATTTTCAGCAATATCCAACGAGAAACAAAAAAGTTCAATGAAAAAAGCCTGTCGAAAACTTCCACAGGCTTTTTCTCAGAAGTGTGTTTTGGACATTGTGCATTGCTCGTGGAAAGAGTAGCACGAGAATTACTGGACTGATTTTGATTCTGTTTTTTTTTTTTTTTTTTTTTTTTTTTTTTTTTTTTTCTCAATCCCTGAACACTGCTTGTGGGTACAGCAATCTTCAATTTGTTTTGTGGCCCTGTTATTTTTCTAGACGATGATTTGTCCATGCCATTGTTTCTGACAATGTGTGTTGGCAGCCATGATGATCTCTAAAAAAAAAAAAGAGAACTTATTAAAAAATTCTGAGAGTGCCATACCTTGTAGCTTTCTTTTGAGTAAAGATCAACATCATTCGCAGCTTCCTGGCATGTGGAAGCGCTAGGCTTTCCACGAGCAGACCATGTAATTGGATCGTGTAACATTATGTAACTTGAGAACTACTGAAGCTATCATGATGAAACTGCATACTTCCCTATTCTAGACACTTGCGAGTATGCATGCCAAATTTCATTGCTGTAGGTCAACAAATAAAAAAGTTTTTTTTTTCAATGCCACCCCCCCCCTTAAAACGAGCAGCCATTTGTGCATGTATCTGTGTTGCAGGACTGGCAGTTCGATGATGGGTCCCCACCCCCAGCACGTATTGTGGAGGAGTGGTTCCATTTGCTCAGGAAACGCTTCAAGGAGGACCCAGACTGCTGCATAGCTGTACACTGCGTTGCCGGCCTGGGCAGGTGAGCTCGCGAAGCAGCAGACTTGAAAAGGAAGAGAAGTGTCTTGCGGATAAGCCTTCGGAAGCTGGTATCATGTCGTGGTTGTTTATTTGCCACGTGTGTGACCTCTGTCGCTAAAAAAGAAAACAAAATTCTGGCAGCTGCGCTGAACAACTCTGCAGATGTTAAACCCACAAAGCCCTACGCTCAAACCTCTGAAGAACACAGACTGCACCTGTCCGTGTTCTTTTCTTGTTTGTGTTTTTTTTTTTAGCAAATTCCCATCAACACTCAAACCTCATTTTAACAAAGTTGTGTCTTACACGAAACCAAGTTCTTTATATATGAATTTTTGTTATAAATATATTCCTATCACTGTATCTATTGCAGTAATATTCATTTACATTATTTTAACCGATATTCGTTATGCCAGTGTTTGTTGTATGCAGGTGTGAATGTATTTTGATTCTGCACCATAGAAAATATAAAAAACTTCACTCATACCTTTGGCAATATTTGTGCCGGAAAAAAAAAAGTTTGAGTACCGTAATTACTCGAATCTAACGCGCACCTTTTTTCCGGTTAAGCCAGTTCATAAATCGCATGCGCGTTAGAATCGAGTACGAACAAAAAAATTACGGTCAATCTATTGCCATCGGCAAATTCAAAATGGCCGCCCCCTATGTGCGTCGACATGGCGCGTCGGCCATTTCTGCCTATGTGTTTCCCATGTGCGGCACTTCACACGTGTGCTGAGGAGTTCATCTAGTAGTGCATTAGCATCGACGGCGTGGAAGGGCTGACTCCAAAAACTCGAGTGCACCACGATGCCGCTTTTAAAAGAAAAGTCATCGCGTGTGCAGAAACGGACGGAAATCCATCGCGTGTGCAGAAACGGACGGAAATCGGGCCGCATCGCGGTCGTTCGGAGTTCCCGAAACGTGCGTGCGGGACCGGCGGAAACAAAAGCAGAAGATTGTCGACAGCAAAGCTTCACGCAAAGGCTTCAGTGGACCACAGCAGGGTCGGTTTCCGCAAATTAAAGAGCTGCTTGGCGAGTATGTGCTTGAGCAGCGAGCGGCACAGGGGCCCGTGACGACAGAACTGCTCCAAGTGCGGGCTATGCAATTGGTCTTAGAAAAAGGTCTAATGCGGAGCCAGTTTAAAGCGAGCAGGTGCTGGCTAACTAACTTTATGAAGAGGAAAGGCTTTTCCCTCCGAAGGGGTACATGCATATGCGAAAAGTTTTGCGGAGGAGTACGATGAAAAGCTTCATAGTTTTCAGAGGTTCGTTCTAAACTTGCGGCGCAACAACGGCTACCTGCTTGGGCAAATCGGGAATGCCGATCAGACGCTTCTTTACTTCGACATGCCTGGCACCACAACCGTCGAGAAGAAGGGGGCGAAGCAAGTTCGCGTGCTGACATCGGTCCACAGTAAAACTACAGTGACGGCAATGCTCTGTTACACGTCAGATGGGCACAAGCTTCGCCCGTACCTCATGTTTAAATGAAAGACGCTCCCGAAAAAAGTCTTTTCCGAGTGGTGTGATCGTGCAGGCCAGCGAGAAAAATGGGTGCGCGTTGCAATCGATGTCTTACTTTTTTTTTTTTTTCGCGGTGGAAATCGGGTGCACGTTACAATCGAGGGCGCGGTAGAATCGAGTAAATACGGTAATAAATATGCCTGATTGATTATTACGTACCTGCGTTCTGAGAAGTCTACGTAGGCAACTTGAGTGCGTCAAAAACACCACTGTGTTTTGTGCTTCCCACTCTTGCATGAGAAGCTGGTCAAACTTGGCATATCAAAAATGATGTTGGGCACTGTTTGGTAAGAAACATTTAGTTGTATGTGAAGAACTTCCAAAGCATATGTAACTCTGTAGTATTTGATTTTAAACTATGTATGTGCATGCTTGATTATCCTGTGAGTAAACGAAGGGGGGGAAAGCACGAGAGTTATTCATTTAATGGTGCGCTGTGGCTTATGTGGTGTTAAGGACGGGATAGGTGTTGATTGCAAGAGACTTGGTGCAGAAATCTGAAGTGTAGGGTTTCGCAAGAAAGAAGCAAATTAGCCAAACAAGATGAATCCGAAGCGAGAGAGCACAAAGTGTCTCGTTCCTTTTAGTTCCCACAGTGTCGGTGTGTTCATTAGATAAGCAAGTCCCAATATTTTTTGGTATCCTGTTCTTTAGCAGCATGTTAACAATATTCCACATACTTTAGTGAAATACCAATTATTCTAGTACACAGTCAGATTTATCGCTTGCTTGTTTGGGCATTGTCCTTGGGCATTTCTCTGAACACTTGATGTAGCTTTGTCCCCAGTACAGTGCTCAACTCTCATGTCTATAGCGATGGAGTGTCGCGCGTCAAACAGCGCGAGCGACATCTTTAGTTGCAAATACGCCATATAAGAGCATGCGCAGTGCTAGTGATGTGCCTGCCTTGCAGTTCCCACCCTTCTTTATCTCCCCGGCCGCAATGACTACTTTGGCCGTTGAAGCGCTGTCAACATTATGTAATAGAATGAAAAGAAAAAAAAAAGAAACCAGCAATTGCCTGCATAGGAGTCTTTTGTATGCTAAACTAATTCTCGCTTCGTGACACCATATCACAGCGAGAACGATTCACTTCTTTTTTTGCTTGCTTCTTGCTTTTTCGCTGCATCATTCAGAGCGCTTTCGATGGCCAAAGTGGTTGTTGCATCCGCGGTGACAAACAGGGACCAGCATTGCAAGGCAGGCACATCACTAGCGCCGCGCATGCTCAGATGTGGCGTATATGCTACTGCAGATGTCGCCCGTGCTGTTCCGCGCACGACACTGTCGTTATGTACATGCGATTTGAGCACTGTACATGGACAATGTCAATATTGGTGCCTTGTTCAGTGCACTGGTGCAGCTGCCATGTGTGTGCCTTGTTTTTGTGGGACTGTTGTCTTAAGCCTTGCATTCCTTTTTCTTGCAGGGCACCTGTATTGGTTGCATTAGCGCTTATTGAATTAGGTATGACTTATGAGGATGCTGTGGAGCTCATAAGGCAGTGAGTATTTAAGATGTATGTCCTCTCTAGCTAGAAGATTGTGGATCTGGAGTTGTCGCCTGCTTGCAGTACTTGTAAAAAGTTGTCATTGTCATATTTTATTTTTATCAAGCATTAAATTTCGTAGTGAGCACCTTTTGGTTGGTAAGAATTCTGTCGTATCCAGTGCATGGCCAATTATTGTATCATTATATATGATAGTCATGGGGGCAGCGGGAATACTGCGAAATCTCCAGAAATAGTTATGTTATGTGTCATTATATCTGGCATCATACATATGTATGTGGATTACGCTGTACTAATGCTGCAGTAACTGATATAAAAAGTTGTGGCGAATTTCTCAAGAGTGAGGGCGGTCACGAGCGGCTAATGCTTTAATAAACACGTGAATCTGTTATAGATCTTCTTATTTTTCTTTGTCTGTGGGGAATGCATGGCACTACCTTTGCTGATATCTTGTTTTCCTCGCAGGAAACGACGGGGAGCCATCAATGCCAAGCAGCTCTCCTACTTGGAGAAGTACCGTCCCAAGTCGCGGCTGAGGCTGCGCAATGGGCATCGGCAGTGCACCATACAGTGAAGGCTTCCCTTTTTCCGATCCACCTTTTATTTTTATTTTTCTATGTTGCTGCGACCATTTTGACCTCGCTCCTGGCAGTTTATTCCGCCATCTTTCCTTCCCCACTCTGGGCACGTGGCTCCTTGGATGCGGTGGCACCCTCGTGTTCAAACTCCCTTCGAGTATTGGGAGGGATGGCAAGCGACTTTCGCCTTGTCGCTGCACACATTCAGCCAGTGCTTCTCGTAGCACTCTTTGGTTGACTTCTTGGCATCCTTTTTTTTTTTTTTTTTTCAGTGTACACCTTTTTCTTTCATCGTCTTCTAATATCCCACATCTTAATCTCGCAGCAGCAACTAACGTATTTTGTCCATTCACGGAGTGGCAGAGTGATAGGATCCAGAGAGTGTATTTTGCGGAAACTGCAGGTGAGGTGATTGATGCAGGGGTGCATGCGTTCGGACTGTTGCAAAGTAGCGGTAATTGTTTACTTTCGTTCATGCACCTTTCCTCTCGTTCTCCCACATCCTCATTGTGTGGTATAAAAAAAAAACTCCTTTCTATCTCTGAACATCTCAAAGTGTAGAGCCAGTGTGCCCAGAGCTTTTACCTGAGTTTTTTTGTCTCGCCATCACACTATTCGCATCTTTGCTAGAGTGCTCTTTTTTTTTTTCCCTTTTTCATTGTTGCGTATAGTTTCAATTGCATTATAGAGGAGCCCTTTCAAAGCTGTCTCTGAAGCGGATCCTGGGATCTTCCTTTTTTTTCTCCCTCTTCCTAGTCCTTTTAATTTAGGCGAGTTTCTTTGCAATATGCTTTTTTTTGCTGGCGGCTGCAAAGGCGTGAGCGATGAGTTTACATATATACACCCCTTTTACTCCATAATGCACGAGCCCAAGTTAAAGGAACAAAGGAGGTGTATTTAGCCAGCCGTAGATGTTCTCTTATCCTTGTTTTTTCTAAGCAAAACTCTGTCGTGGTGGTGTTGCAAATGGCAGACGAGCATTCGACTTGGCTGCACCTATCTATGAAAACTCGTTTAGCTCAAAGAACATTCGCGATTCAATTTGCGTTCTCCAGCATCTGATGGTCTCATTCAGTGCTCGTGGAAATGCTTTTTTTCTGTTGATGACGCGCCATTAATTATTTATTCCGTAGAGAAAAGTTGCTCCGAAGCCGCCACACGACACAGGAAATGCCATTGGGATTGCCCGTCATTGCTACTTTTTTGCCATTCTCCGCGACTTTGTCGTGTTTAGTTAGCTCAATGCAAATCTCTCGTTCCCTCCTTTTTAATTCGTGCCGACGTGACTACTCAGGTGTGCTGGCTAGTCGTGCATGTAGGGAGGCCTGCCTGCCTGCCATTGGGGGACGTGAATGTGTTGATGTAGCAGCAAAACGTCATGTAAAATATGTTGTTTACATATCCATTTGGATTGTGCCCTTGTGAAAAAAAAAAAACTAACTCATGGTGTTTCGACAGCGATTATAAAGATCTTTTCAGATAACTGTGTCTGTGTGAATTACTTTCGATGTCCTGGTCTGCTAGATATACTATCTTCAGTATTTATCATGTCCGAAGGCGAGTTCGTAGTGAACAAAGATTTCTCTCGGCGCTTCATTTTTGGTTTTGATGTTAGTGTTTGCCGTCGTACCAGGTAGTCAAACTTTACAACTGCAAAAATGTCGATAGATACTAACTAGTAACACTAACATATCCCTAGACATGTTGAATTGTATTGGTGATCTATGTAAGGTGTATGGCAAATTTTGGGGTGGTACAGCATACCGGCATTGACCAATGCAAGCAAAACAAGCCTTCGAACGCTACTGTGTGTTCAGTCCCAGGCACTCCGGATTTGTCTCGGCTTGCCTCGTAGTGCGTCGACAATAGCTACTATAGCAATCGCCGGTGACCACCACATCGCAGAACACCTACCAGTTGACGACATCACGGCGCATATCTACGTTGAGGCACTCGGCACACACTAGGCATATTGCTCGGACACCCTGCCACCACCTAGCCTCTTTACCAGCGAACAGACCACGTTCGTCATTTTGCCAAACGGTAACCACATATCGCGATTCTTTACCAACATGCTTCACACCCGCCGCCAGGCCTTGGACTCCTCCTTGGTGCCTGACTCGGGCCAACTATACCTGGCATCCAGAGTAAAGCTGACATGTCGTCACCTGCTCTTGAGCAGCTTGCTCTGCTCTTGTTATCGAGATGTATCAAGGCTGCATACACGTATACACCGAAAGCTCTGTTTTACAGAAGAGTTCGCCGGCATCATTTGTTATACCAATAAAAGACAGGACAAGAAAATTCAAGACCTCCCACCTATACGACATCAACGGGAGCAGGGCTCACAGCTCATCATGCCGTATTGCAATTCATCGGCAATCAACAGCCACAAAAATGGACAATTTTCAGTGACTCAAAGGCGGCACCGCAATCCCTTCTATCACTACTGAGTGGTTACAAGAGAGAAAGGAAGAGAAAAGCGAACCCCGTAACGATCTGCCTCAGCGAGCGACACCTGAACAGTAGCTCACAAGGGATGGGGGTGAGGAGGGATTAAAAGGATAGGAATAAAGGTGTAGAGAGAGAGATGAGGTAAGCGTGAGAGCGACGACGTATTGAGGGGATAGGAGAGATAGGAAAGATAGAAACACGGTCACAGAAGTCCGAGAACGGGGCACCACTTGCGAGAGCTCTTGTCGGCGTCATTAGGTGGCTATAGAGCAAGTCCAGTTGGTCAGAGCTACACTGTCGTCGGAGGTCAGTGTCAGGAGATGACGTAGGGCCAGCCCAGTCGGCCAGAGCTACGCTGACATCGGAGATCGCGAGGAGACAACCTGTCGGCACGGAACCCAGCGAGCGAGCCCCCCCTTCTATCACCTTTACACCACGGCCTGTACGAACAGCTGGTATTCGAGATTGCCGAAAAGACCCCAATTCATTAAGAAAGGACATGGAATAGACTTTCAATGGCTTCCAAGTCATTGTGGAATAATTGGCAATAAACGGGCCGATCGAGCTGCCCGTTCTGCCCATACTGAAAGCGATCATATATCAATTCCGCTCTACAGAACTGACGCTGCACGGAAACTCCGCACACTTGCTCGCACGCGCACCACGTCACAATGGAACGAGTCACACTTCATCCATGCACGGTTATGCACATTAGACCCAACTCTCAGTCTTCGAATTCCTCCGGAATTACGCCGACGAGACGCTACTATGCTGTGGAGATTATGGTTGGGCGTTGCATTTACCAATGCGTACGCGTTCCGCATAGGAATGGCTGACACTGCTGCATGCGACCATTGCGGCAGTGACGAAACAACTTGGCACATTCTGTGTGAATGCCCACAATACTGCTCGCAGAGACAGTCACTCTGCAATGCACTAGATGAACTGGACAACCAGACTCTTTCGGAAGAAAGAATCCTGCGCTACCGACAGGATTTATGTCGCAGAAGAAGACTGTTAAGGCGCTTCTGCGCTTCTTGCGTTCAACCGGCCTGTCCAAACGACTGTGATCGGAAACTCCCTGAATGTGTGCGCATGTGAATTTTTTTTCTAATTTATTTTATATCTTTCTATATCTATCCTCTTTCAGACCTTTTTCCCCACCCCCGTACAGGGTAGCAAACCAGTTATTCTAGGTCCTTTTATTTATTTCTCTCTCTTTAGGGTGGACTTTGTGGTTGCACTTTTCTACTTTAGGTACCTTTATCTCTCTTTGTGGGAATGTTACGTATTGAGGGAAGCCCAACTCGGTGAATTTCAAAGTTGCTCGTTTATGTTGAAAAGGAGATAACTGGTTAGCCCTTATTGTAGAACCACCACTGGTAATTGAATGTAGTGCTGGTCAATTTGCAATTAATGCATAGTACTATTGATTGAGCTCTACTTGTATAAGTTGCAATTGGTGCCTGGTGAATAGCTGGGAAACCGGCATCGGCCTCTTGACTAGCGAGTGTAAATGCTCATTTGGAGGGCTTGCAGAGCGTAACGTCCTTGTCATGCTAAATCATACTTTTGGCAGCGTGCCAAGTGTTGAAAACGATTTTGGCAGGGAAGCGCTTTCTTTCTCCCCGACACAAGTCGAGAAAAGAGCGGCTTTTGGCAGTCAAAGAATCCCCCTTCAGCCACTGGTATGGCGGCCGCATTGTGGCACGCTTCGACTGTGACCCTTATACTGATTCCTCTCGTGTGCGTGGCGCGAAAGCGGTGATGGCGACGCCATAGGCCGAAGGAAGTCCTCTGACGCCGAAAAGCCGCGTTTTTTTTTTTTTTTTTTAGTTGTAATACCAAGTGGTCACTATACATGACTGGAATTTCATAACACGTCATGCGGCGACGAATCTGGTCTCTGAAGATAACGCTGGCCCCGATCTACGCGTCCAAGTCGAAATAGCGTCAATATGTCTCGAATGACCAGAAACCATAGATCTGCACTACTTAGCGCTGAATTGTCCCGTATCAATCTGAGTATTCAAGCCCATGACAGGGGCGCGCAGGTAAAATTTTTTTTCGGGGAGGTCTGAACTTCCCCCCCCCCTCCCCCTAGCTACGCCCTTGTTAAATATGTGCGCTGCCGTGCCAAGATGAACCAATTAGGCCACGGGCGCAGTTCCCCATGAAGTGCGGAAGGAAGCGTTGGCCAAAAAAAGCAGCCCCCCCTCCTCCCACCCTTCGTATGGTCGAGTCGAATGAGGCGCAATGAAGTGACCTGCCTTGGGTCCTTGGCTTTCATGAAGATGGAAATTAAGTAAGCAGCTCTTGGAATGCGACATATCAGGGGCCTTCGCGGCTATCATTATATTGACGGAAATCAATTGGAGTGTTCGCTAAAAGTTAGCGGGTGTTTGCCACAAAAGGTGAGCGTACGTACGACGCATACGCAACGCAAAGGGACAAGTCTTGTAGACTTTGGGCACCCCTTATGTCATCGGAGTGATTCTTAAGAGAGAGAAAAGAAAAAAAAAAGCGAGCCCCGTAACTGTCTGCACCATAGTCCGATACTTCAACATTAGCGAGAGGTTATACCAATAGGGATGAATTAAAGGTACAGAGATAGACAGAGGAGCCGTGACAAAGAGACTACATACGGAAATAAGGAGAATATAGGAAAGATGGGCATGGTCGCAGGAGTCCGAGGACGGGGAACCACTCGGCGAGAGCTCCTGTCGGCGTAAGGAGATGGCGTAGGGCGAGCCAGTCGGCCAGAGCTGCGCTGTCGTTCGGAGATCGCGGGGGCACAACCGGTCGGCAAGAAATCCAGAGAGCGAGTCCTCATACATAATGCGTGCGCCCATGCCTATGAATGCGGCGTATTCTTGGCGTTGGTGCGCCACATTACTACTATATATGCATGCTGTATGGCGAACCCACGGAGCTCCTTCGCCCCACATTCGAGCGCGTCCCCAGGGAACACGGCGTGACCGAGTTGGCGTCTTGCCGTGTCCAGAAAGCACGCATGTACCGCTGTCGCAAGAGAGAAAAATCTATAGAGGAAGTTTTCCATGAAGCGGAGGAACCAGAGAATTTATGAAATGTGTCCGACAATATTTAAAAATTACAGTGAAAATTTACTCTGTAAGAAGGCATTTTTAGATGCGCATAAACATTATTTACGGCAGTCATCATAGAAAGTAACCCAATTAACCTTTAACCAGTGGAACTACCCGATCGAGTCCGATGGGCGAACTCAAAACCTGTGCCCGCCGAATAGTCCATAGACACTTCGAAAAATTTTGAAAGGTGCCCGCCAACGTATTACCGCGAGGTGATAAAATCTGACCAGGAGGATAAGCGCGTCGAAAAGTGGCCAGGCGGCCACGAAGCGAAGTCATCTAGATTTACGGTTATAACGGCGAGGGAAACGTTCACTTTAGGGCTGGCTTCAACAGATTTGGGGAGTTTGTTTCTTCGTCGTAGTTTTTAAATTGGGTGATTATATGCTAGCTCGTACATAAAATAAGTTTAAGGGCGATTCAATGTACGGCATATTTTCCGTCACTGCTACGTACCTATTCTAGCTTCGTCGTACTGTCCTTGGCCATCTCTTGGAGGCCACAAAGGAATAGGTCTTTGCCCAAGATATCTTCATTTCACATTTGTTTTGCTTCAACTAAATACCGTGTTGGAGCGATAGCGCTAAAGTCTAGAATAAAAGCTAGGGAGAAAAAAGTAGCGACAAGTCGGCCTGATTGATTGATTGATCTGTGGGGTTTAAGGTCCCAAAACCACCATATGATTATGAGAGACGCCGTAGTGGAGGGCTCCGGAAATTTTGACCACCTGGGGTTCTTTAACGTGCACCCAAATCTGAGCACACGGGCCTCGACATTTCCGCCTCCATCGGAAATGCAGCCGCCGGAGCCGGGATTTGAACCCGCGACCTGCGGGTCAGCAGCCGAGTACCTTAGCCACTAGACCACCGCGGCGGGGCGACAAGTCGGCCTCCTCTTTATATTCTAGGCACGTGCGTCA